TGGTGTGTAGGTGCTGAATTGGGCTATTGGCTCCTTCTATTGATGCTTCATGCCTTCCGTTTTTATCCAACCCCATATAGACCATCACTATCTCTTTTAGTGACTGTATTCTGTATAGTGCCACCTCTACTTCTCATAGAGCGAGATTTATGGCCAAAGCTATTATTCAATGCGTCTCCAGAAAAATCTCGTGATGCTCGCCATGGCTGGGAAGTCTATGCGCGTCTTGGCCTTGCTGTGTCCCTGGAGCTTAGCACTCTAATGACACCTAGGTTATGGTATCCAGTTGACCCATACTCAAATGACCTTCCATCCCCAGAACAGACAGCATCATTGATCAGTTATATGGGATCGTATTCCTGGATTGGAAATCTCATAAGAATTGCATACAAAAGAGATATTGAGCCAGAAGATCTACCTGAACTCCCAGATTATGACCGGGCACGATTATGGAGTAAGAAAGTTGAAAACAATAAGAAGTCAACTACCTTCAAAACCTTCTTCGCCTGTATGCGTTGGGATATATTGAATATGACTCTTTGTAGTATCTTCCTTGGTTTGATGCAGTTTGTTTGGCCTGTATCCATGAGGGAATTACTTGCGTATGTTGAGGGATCAAAGGAGCCAGTTATCACGCCATGGGTATTTGTATTTGGGCTTTTCTTCGGTCCTCTCCTCACAGGTCTGGTCTGGGAAGCTTATATCTTTAACGCTACAAGGCACGTATCCCTGATCACCCTGACTACTATCAAACTTCATCAAACTAACAAGAGCACCTGTAGACTCATAATACGAGTTAAGGCAGCCTTTACGCAGAGTCTACTTGAGAAAACACTAAAGATTAGGTTCACACAAGACTCTGGCAAGGATGAGAAAGATCCCAAGGACCCAAAAGCAGCTGCAGTAAAGGGTGATAAGAAAACGCCACCCAGTCAGTCAAAGGTTGGCATGATTAACAACCTAATGTCAACCGACTTGGATACACTCACAAACGCTCGAGAATTTTTCTTGCTTGTAGGCTCTGTGCCGGTTGAGATTATATTTGCAGTAGTCTTCTTATATGATCTTCTTGGCTGGGCTAGTTTGGTCGGAATTGGCATGATGGTAGGAGCTTTGACAGAATATGTTTGGCAGAGGCCTTTGCTGACGATATCAACAGGTTGCCACGATGATCGTTCCAATTTTAATAGCCAAATCGCTGGCGAAAATCCAGCGAGCCCTTAGGGAATCAACTGACGCAAGGATCAACTTGATGTCTGAGACTCTCACGGCAGTCCGCATCATCAAATTCTTCGGGTTAGAGGGAGCATTCTTGGAGAAAATTCGCGAAAAACGTGAAGCTGAGCTAAGACTAAGTCTTATCAACACTATCTGTAGTCTTGGGCTACGTACTGTATCAGTATTGCTTCCAATTATCAATATCGTCGTCACCTTTGGTATCTTCACCAAGGTTATGAACAAACCGTTAACTGCAAGTATTGCGTTCACATCAATAAGCTTGTTCGATATACTGCGTGGCCAATTTGGCTGGTTGGCTTTCATCACTCAGCAAGTTGTATATGCGTTCATCTCTTTCGATCGTATCGACAAGTTCCTAAACGGAGAGGAAGAACTAGAGATTTACAAATCTCAAGAATCATTGGAGCCTCAAAAGCCACCAGCATACAATAACGCCACGCTATCTTGGAGTAAACCTGGTTCCGAGGAGGACAACAACTTCCGCCTTTCAGACATGGATGTGGAATGCGTTTATGGCGGTCTTACAGTAGTTGCTGGACCCGTGGGGTCTGGAAAATCGTCCTTTATACTAGGGTTGATGGGCGAGATGAGGCTCCTAGAAGGGAATATCCACCTTCCACGACAATCCGGGATCTCCTATGTTGCTCAATCAACCTGGCTTCAAAATGCATCCGTTAAAGATAACATCCTCTTCGGAAGTCCTTATGATGAGAGAAGATACCAAACCACCATTGAGGCATGTGGACTCTCGACGGACTTAAAAAATCTAGAGGCTGGTGATGAAACCGAGATTGGTGAAAGAGGAACAACACTTTCGGGAGGTCAAAAGGCTAGAGTCTCGCTCGCTAGAGCTGTCTATTCGCCCGCTCAAACGGTTTTCTTGGACGACGTGCTTTCTGCCCTTGACGCGGAGACTTGCAAACTCGTGGTTGAAAAGTGCATCAAGGGTGACATTCTTGCTGGAAGAACAGTTGTATTGGTAACCCATCAGTAAGTATCGATTTTTGTCACGAGCTTTTTACAGGTATTAACCTGGGTCGGTAGTGTCTCTCTGGTAGCTTCTGCTGCTCAGAAAATCATCGTTCTCTCGGACGGCAAAATAGTCAGCGACTCCCATAATCTTACCAAAAGCACACTCGATTTACTTAGTGGAGCCGGGGAAGATGTAGACGCCGAGATCACTGCGCCCCAGGAAGTTGACCCAGATATCATTGACACGCCCAAACCCGCTGATGCCAAGGTCCCTGGCGGCAAAGAAGCTACCAAGCTTGTCAAGGAAGAAGGACGCGCAAAGGGACGAGTGCCGAAAATAATGATTTGGAAATATATCAAGAATTTTGGCGGTCCATTCGTTCTCATTTGTATTATTTGTCTGAGTCTTACGAATCAGTTTTTGGGTTTGGCGAATTCGTATTTTGTCGGTTTATGGTCGGATCAGTATACCCAACATCCTGACGATGTCGACGTTAATCTTTGGCTTGTGAGTTATAAAACGGTATCCACCCTATCAGGAAACACCACTGACAATTCGACTAGGGATTATACGCTGGTGTTCTTATGGGGACCGTACTGTTCGAAACCTTCACTTACATTGTATGGTTTGCCTTCCGATGGATCGCATCAAGACGTATCCACGAGAAAGTTGTCAAGTCTGTCCTGTATTCACCAATCCGCTTCTTCGATACCACACCTCTTGGGAGAATCATCAACCGGATGTCCAACGATGTCAAATCAGTCGACTCAAGTCTCGGTGCCTACCTCCAGCAAGTATTCCACCAGGCTCTTGAATGTGCATTTCGTCTCGTAGTCATGTCCGGTCTCATCCCGGCATTCTTTATACCTACTATCGCTGTTTCAGTCGTTGGTATCATCTGTGGTAACCTCTATGTGCGTGCCCAGTTGGGCGTCAAACGAATTGTGTCAGTGCGAGAATCGCCTCTTTTCTCGCACTTTGGAGATACAATCTCCGGCATTGTTACTATCCGCGGATTCGGAGTACAGGATCGTTTCCTCGCTGAGAGTCTAAAGCGTGTAGACGATTTCTCCCAGCCTTGTGAGTCGCTATACTCTCTAAACCGCTGGATTGGGATCCGTATAAGTTGGTGTACTGGCGCAATTGGATTGGCGGCTGGTGTGATTGCTCTCACAACCAAAGGAAATTCTGCAGGTCTCATTGGATTCAGTTTGTCAAACGTACTCGCATACTCCACCTCCATCCTATACTGTGTTAGATACTTTACCATGTTCGAGGTGGAACTCAACGGCTTTGAGAGGCTTGAGGAATACATCGAGCTTGAACAAGAGCCCGCCAAAACCATCGAAGGCGAACCACCAGCCGCCTGGCCAACAGAGGGATCATGCATAGTCAAAGACCTCTGCGTTAAATACTCCAAAGATGGGCCCGACGTCCTCAACAAAGTCAGCTTCGATGTCAAGCCCCATGAGCGTGTGGGAATCGTTGGAAGAACTGGGGCCGGTAAATCATCACTTGCACTCTCTCTACTTCGCTTCACAGAGCTCTCAGGCGGCAGCATCAGTATTGGTGGTCTTGATATCCAGAAAGTTAATCTGGAAGCCCTCCGCCGCCGCGTCACTATAATTCCGCAGGACCCTGTGCTGCTCTCGGGTACAATCCGTACAAACCTGGACCCCTTTGGCGAGATTGATGATTCTGAACTTCAGGCCGCACTGGAGGGAAGTGGGCTGGCAGGTGATAAGGTGGAGATTCTTGAGAGTGCTGAAGGTACTCGTGCACCCACCCCGGATGGCACAACGACGCCGGATGTCCCCGCAAGACTGAAAACGAAGCGGATCAATCTCAACACCCCCATCACGGCGGGAGGCGATAACCTAAGCCAGGGCCAAAGGCAGTTACTGGCCTTTGCTAGGGCACTGGTGAGAAGGAGTAAATTGGTGCTGTTGGACGAGGCCACTAGCTCCACGGACCAGTCCACGGATGAGAGGATACAGCAGACGTTGCGGAGCAGTTTTCCAGATTCGTCGTTGATTGTCATTGCGCATCGGCTGAGGACGGTGGTTAACATGGACCGCATTGTGGTGCTGGATAATCTTGGCAAGGGCGGTGAGGTGGTCGAGTAAGTAACCGCTCTTTTACATTTTACTTTGGTTGCAGGAACTGATTTGTGCCTGGCAGGTTTGATACACCGTTGAATCTCCTCAATAATGAAGGTGGTGTGTTGAGGAGTCTAGCTGAGAAGAGTGGTGAGTTTGAGGAGCTGCTTGAGATTGCAAAGAGCAGTGTTTTAGAGAGGGGTTGGGAGCCGTTGCAGTAGGTAGTTGAAGATTTGTACGGTAATGACGATGATGAAATGTGAACTGTGATAACTGGTACGGGGGTAGAACTTTGTAAGGCTAAGAGAAAAAAGGGGTTTTAATGTTTTTGTTTGGCCAAGTGCTTCTAACGAACGTGAAAGATGCAGGTTGGCACGGTCCCGGTTTGCTATTAGTTCGGCTGAATGCTAGCGATCTGTTGATGTGCCCAACCAAAACAGAGTGACCACCCATGATGCAGCAGGAATAGCCAAACGTCCACCCGCAAACCACGCCCGTCGTCGAGGAAAAAGCACTACGCCGCGGAGCTCGACATTTGCAGCTGTGCCGCAAATTTCGAATCCCTTTCACCCCTCGCGTCCAGCCCGGCGCAAAAACACAAGGGGGAAAAACATCCATACAATCATTGACACCTTGCTCAACGAAAGGCTGCTAACAACCCTTTCTACTAATTAATTAACAACCACAGAATGCCAGGCCCCGTCCCTATGTCTCCGCCTCTGTCTCCCCAGGCTTCGGTTGCACCACTGCCTCCATTGTCTCTACAGGCTCTAGATTTACCATTGGCTCCGTACATTTGCTCTTCCCCAGATCCCCACAAACCACCACCACCACCACTACAATGCAAGGACCCTAAAGCCACACTCACCACGCTCACAGCACATACCCATACCTCACTAATGACAATAACACTTACAAACCAGACCGAGCTCACCCTCGCCCTCAACCCCACCCCTCTCACTCGTCGCCCGCCGCCCAACCGGCGCCAGATCGCGGCAGAACTCTTCCCCGAGAAGACCCCCGCGGAGAATGTCGAGGAGTTCATGGCCTGGGTGGTTGCTACGTTTTGTAGTGGGGACCGTGAAGTGGTGTATGAGGGCCTAGCCGAAAGTATTCATGCTGATCATGATCAAAACCAGGGCCAGGGCCAGGGCCAGGACCAGGACCGTGCAGGGCAGAAAAGATTCAGACCCTTGGACTGGGAGAGGGAGAGGGATGGCGGGGAGAGGGCACGGCGGAGAAGTCGTCGGGAGGAGGAGGAGCGCCGGGGGGAGGCGGGGGGGTATGAGTATCAACAACAGCAGCAGGAGCAGCATCGGCGTTATACGTTTGCTTGGCAGGACTATCATTACTACGGGCATGACCGCCGTTGGACTAATTGGGGAGATGGATATAACTATGGCCGTCAATATGACCGTTACTATGGCGGCGGTGTTAATCATGAGGATGGTCACCGCTATCATCGTCGAAACAGTGATCACGGAGACCGCAATCACCGCCATGACCACAGCAGCGGCGTTATTCGTGAAGATACCCGGCCCAAAGCCAACTTTCGATCAGAGGCTATAGACACTATCGAAATCTCCCAACCCCAGGAAGCCACCGCCACCACTTTCTTCATCCCCGTCGCCGTAGCCAACACCACCGTCACCCAACCCCAGGAAAACCCCACCACCACCACTACCCCCTCCTACTTCATCCCCGCCGCCGCCGACAACTCCATCCTCCACCGCATCCCCACCACCCACGAGGAACACCCCACCTCCCGCAACGCGCGCGCAAAGATTAGCTACCGCCAGCGCAACAGCTATAAGGACCACCAGTACCAGCAGCGCCACCGCAGCAGCGGCAGCACCGTGCCGGACCTGTATCCGCCTGTGGCGACGCGCAGCGGCGCTTATGCGCGCCCGGAGGAGTATGAGGCTTCCAGGGGCGGAGTGAAGAGGGAGGAGTAGGGAGTATGGCCAGTATGAGAGGAGTGTGATGTGCCCGCGATGTCTACGATGTGTCCTCTATGTGTCTATGTGTCTGTGATGTGTCCATGATTTCTACCATGTCTACGATATATCTGCGGGTATGGATGTGAAGTTGGGGGTGCTAATATTCTTATGTTCTTGTGTTCTGATGTCCTCATGTTCTGATGTCTCGATCCTGATGTCTCGATGTTCTGATGTTCCAATGTCTTCGTGGATAATGTGCTGATATCCCGATGTGCTAACGCTAATATGCTAAGGATGTTGCTAATGCGGGTATATAACAACACACAACGGTGTGGAAGTTAGGAGTTATAGAAAGGTACATGTATGTGTTTTTGTGGCGTACTTTCCTCTCCTTTTTCTTTTTCTGTTTCTTTTTCACCCTCTTTTCGAATCTCACTTTCATTTCACACTTCATATAGCATAATAATCAGTAGTAGCCATTAAATGTTAATGAAAAGAATTAATCTATAAACAGTACGAAAGAAAATAGAAAACTTGGGTGTAATCACTCACATATTTGAAACTACGCACTTACATTTCTATTCCTATCCGAACCTCCCCACACCTCCTCTACCTACCGCACCCGCTCTTAGCACTCTAGCAGTTGTGGTTGTAGTTATGGTTGTGGTTATAGTTGTGATGGATCACAGCCCATCACTCGCACGATCATTTGTTGCCAAACAGATCCTTACCCCACCCCACGCTACCCACTAGCTGGGGACAAAATAACGACATGGATGATCATTGGCACACGGCACACCGCGAGATTACTTGCACAGGCTTCAATGCGACGTCTACTAGAGCAATTGAGGAGAATTCATGTCATGTCTCAGAGAGAAAAAGGTTGTGGAAAACATTATGAGTCACTCGTATCGTCGGTATCACTCTGTGGAGGGGTGAGGGGTGAGGGGGACTAGCAACTAAAAAGGCACAGCCAAAAAACAACCAAACAGCCAAAAGGCACAGACAGGGAAACAACCAAAACCAAGACCAAATGACATAACCAAACCGCTAAAAAAAACCCAAACCAAAAAATCCCCCCCCAAAACACTCACACCCTCCCCCTCCGCCTCCTCTCCGCCCCCTCCGCCGTCCACAGGCCCAAAAACAACTCCTCCAGCTCCCCCTCATCGTCCACATCCACATCCACCGCCTCTCCGCGTCCCTCCACCCCTGGCCCCGCCACCTGCTCCCACGCACTCACCTTCACGACCCGCTCCCGCTCGAGAATGTACTTGCCCACCTTGTACCGCTGGTCCTCCTTCTCGGCACTGACATACTTCCAGCCAATGTTTTCGCCGCACACGGCGCACGCCATGTCAGACACCGTGTGCATCCCCGTAATCAGCGGGCGTGGCGTTGGCGGCGAGAGCGTGATCCCCGCGGCGGGGAGCGTCGTGAGGAGGTAGGCGCGGCCGTGGCGGCCGGTGAACCCTGTTGTGCTGTACTATTAGCTGCTGTGCGGGGGGGGGTGGGATTGGGGAATGAGGGAATGGGGGCGGGGGCGAGGGGGGGAGTGACTTGCCTTTGGAGATGATGTGGCTGGTGGGGCAGAGGTCGCTGAGGCAGCTGCGGCACTTGACGTACTGCGTGTGGCCGGGGAGGTGGGCTTCGGGTGGTGCGGCGGCGGCGGCGGCGGGCTTCTTGCCGCGTGCGGGGTTGGAGGCGCGCGGGAGGAAGGGGAGTGGCGGGAGGAGGTACAGCGGGAAGATGAGCGGGTGCGGGGGCGGGGTGTCGCTGGTGCTGGTGCTGGTGCGGCTCATTGCTGGGCGTGTCGGGTGGTGAGTGAGAGTCTGGTGAGTGTAGTTTGGTCGGACAGATAGATGGCCAGCTGGGAGTGCCGGTAGCTATCGTGTGGTAGAATAGCCTTGAGAGATCAGGTGGACGTGTGCAGACAGACAGACAGTTGCACCGGGCGTTCGTTGCTATCAACGCCTCAAGCTTTTTGTTTTCGGTCTTATCGCGTGGCTGCGGCTAGCGATTGGCTGGCGCCGGCGTTCAGGCTCGGGTCTGGGGCCCGGGCTGTGGTACTTTTTGTTTTTTGTGGTCAGCCCGGTTTCGATTCGGGCCTTGAATTGATAACCAGCCCGGGGAAAAAAGAACAAGAGGAACAGGAAGAAACAAAGAAAAAGTCTGGGGAAGGCTAGGGGAGGAGAGAGGGAACTTCTAGAAGCTGCATCCTTGTCGGTTTGATTGCAATTGCAAGTACCGTGCGTGCGGATTGGGGATTGAGTTTTGAGTGTTTTGTGAGTATTTTGAGCGAGTATTTTGTGAGAGTACTCTATTTTGAGTATTATTCCATTAAATCCCTCCCAGGGCTATATATCCATCCAGAAGGTAAAATACAGAAGCTATCATAACCAAACCATAACCATAACCAAAAAGCAAAGTAAAAACAATATCGTACAGTGCCCCCCACTATCCTATTTACACTCCTCCCCCGCTATATCGCCCCACAACTCAACCTCCCCAACACCCTCTTCACCAAGCCCTTCCCCTTGCCCTCTGCATCAACATTCTCCTCCACCTCCAGCCCCGAATACATCTCCGCCTGCGCGCGCTCCGCCTTCTGCCTGTTGTGGTGGTGCCGCACGTGCGGCCTGTGCCGGTGGTGCTTCTCCGAAATGACCGCCGTGTCCAATTCTTCGTGCGGCGCCGTCTGCGCGTCTTGGTGCGGGAGGGTGGTGTTCCGTTCTCTGGCCCAGGGTGTTAGGGAGGGGGTATATGCAGGGTGGGGGATCATGCAAGGGAGGGGGGTGCAAGGGAGCGGGGGATGGGGGATGGGGGACTTACAGTGATAGTGGCTCGGGGAACCCGGTTTCCCGTGTTCCGTGGCGCGTCTTGTTGATGTCGTTTGCAGTACCCGCAGCCGGGGCCGGGGCGGTCGTGGTTGCAGTTGTATGCGGATTTGCGGGCATTGTAGTGTAAATCCGTAGAGTAATATAAATCAACCAAAGTAGAGTAGGTACGTAGGTAGGAATGGATAGACAACGAATATCCCCAGGGTTTATTTAAGAAATTAATTAAAGAATCGAAATTCCCCCGTCTTCCGCTCCCCAATCACTACTTATACTTCTCGCAAAAGCATGACGATCCACCAGCGAGAGTGAGGAAACTGCCTTGGTAACGATAGTTCTGACAAGAAAAGTCGGGACCCGGTACGTCTGCCTGACGTCACACACGCCGGCCTGGGTTTGGGTTTGGGTTTTGGTGGGTTTGGTGTTACTCTAGGACTCTTGGGTAGGAGTCTTGGGGGGACAAGGATGATGTGTGGCTTGCAGGCGGTGCTCATTAGTACTCTGGGGTATGTAGTTGCTAGTACTGTTGGAGGATTGGTACTGCTACTAATACCCACGATAGTGGTTGTCTTGCAGGTATCATTTCACTGCGCGGCTGCAATTGGCATGTGAAACCCCGTCTGGGAGAGTTGAGTGTCTGCAGGTAGGTGGTTATAAAAGAGCCGCGATATCAGAGCACACCCGCCCAGACCCGTAACTACCCTTCCGCTTGGCAAGTACGATTATGCGCAACTGATCGATAGCAACCTCCTCCTCAGTCAGTGAGGGTAGATACACACGACCAATTGCTCTCTTTGCACAATCTCAAACCCTCACTGCAGCCCGTTTCATCACCAACCGCAGCTAGGTAGGAGTAATGTGGACAGCAATTGAGCTCACGGCCTTGTACCTACCGTACTCTGCCATGCCTACATATCTCAGGCAGATTAGAGTAGAGATCAAGCCCATCATCAATTTTGTGCAACCTCCGTGGTGCTGGTAGTGTATGTAGCTAGGTAGCTATGATGATACGATATGATAGTTGCAATTACACAGAGCACATGCTGATGGCTTATGGCTTATGCTGACTTCCCCTCCAGATTCCTTAGTTCAGACACTAGCGACTCTCTCAGTTAATTTATGATATATCATCACGACTATCTATCCGACTATCCCCACGAGAAAAGGGAAGGGAAAGAAAGAAAAAGCAATCGCTATGACGAAAACGGCCATGCAGCGCATGCCCACGCAAATTATCGCGCCGATTGCACCTTTAGACCTGCTGGAAATTAGATCTGTCTGTCTACTCTAGCTGTCTGCCTGCATAGAAGGAAAAAAAAGAAGGAGGAGGAGGCCGGCATGGCAGGTGACGCTGAATTCGAATTGTTGTGCACCCCCTCAAAGACGTGTCCATAGTGGAATGCTTCCTAATTGCCTCTCTCGCTATCTTTTTGTTTCTCTATTGTAGGAAGTTATAGTGCTGCAACATCATGAATAGATGTCTGTCTGCCTCACTCGTCAGGCCAGTTCTCACTGTGGTGGTGTGCAGCAGATGCATAAGCGAGTGACGTAGAGTGCACCCAATTGAAGCCAGGACTGAACAGTTTTCCCTGGGAAACGCAGCACAAAAGATAGTCCAAAAACGTCAGTGCATCATGTAGGGTGTGATGTTTCGCAGACCCTTCTGGATTTTGTTTCTCCCCGTTTCTCCCACAGCCCGCCAAGAGGCTTCCCCAGACACTACCGCAACCACCACACACGGTTAGCGGACAAGACTGAGTGGGAGATTTGAAGGGTAAAGAAAAGGGTCCTTCTTTTTTTTTCGCAGCCTCACTCACTCGCAACCGTCCAGCCGAACAACGCGCCAACCAAACATGCAGCATACCCACCCTCACACACCCACCCACCTCTTGTTTGATTCCCTCTCTCTCCCTCCCAGCATTCCGGATCCACGTGCACACCCCGGTTCGGGAAGCTCGTGGCGGGTTGGGCGGCAAAGACACAGTTAACGGTTGACCTGTTCGTTTGCGCGGATGTCTGGTTGGTGGATTCGGTCCTTTTTTTTTTTTTTTTTCCTTTTCCACTGATTATTGACTGGGTTCATGGATTGGTTTGTTTATTCCAGCCCGTTGAAATTGGATTTTATTTTTTATTTTTTATTTTTTGGGACGTCTTTGTTTCCACGTCTGGTCTCTCTGTCTGTCGATCAGGATTGGAAAGAACGATCGATTTGATGACGAGTGGGATGAGGGTGCCATTGTTTCGACGCACGGATTTGCTGGAGTAAATGTAAATAGCAAGATACTCTAGAGATTGCATATGCAGCAGCATCATGTATCATGTAGGTTGAATTCAGGCGACCCAAGCAAGCAAGCTGCTGATGCTGATGCTGATGCTGCTGTATGTAGATGGTTCTCGTTCAGTCTAGCAAGCAATCTCTGCCATGGGTGAGAGTGGGAGGGCCCCTGGGAGAGCCCTGGGAGAGAAGTTATCGTTAGTAAATTGGTGGCCGAAACGCCACCACCGGTAATGGTAATGGGTAGTGGGACACTAGCGAAAGGACCATAAAGTCAAAGCTCACCCTCGCTTCCCGCAGAATTCTTCTTTCCCTTTCCCTTCTTCCTTGCATCATCATCGCACTCTGCAACAAACTCTCAACAGTACTTCCTTCCTACTTCAGAACAAATATTATTGTCTGACCTTTAGATATCTATCTAACCAGAACTACTATCTACTTATCGCTCGGCTTTTGATAAATTATCAAAAGCAAATCTTCACACTTCGTCCACACAACCAAAGAACCTTTTTTTAAACAACAACCCCCGTGACATTAAGGATTATGGCGATGATGAGTAGTAAACCAAGTAATAGTAGTAATAATCAAAGCAGGCCTTCTGCGGCCCCCGCCCCAAGGGCCCGCATCGAGGCCAGCTGTTACGCTACCAGCAAGTCGAGCCCTACCGGCATTCAAAGTTTCCATTACTGTTCAACCGGCGCGGACGGTATGTTGTTACCATAATTCTAATGTTCAATGAATTCATCCAAGAATTGAAGAACTGATTCGATTGTTTTTGTGTGTATATAGGGGTCCAGTGGCGCTCCTGAGGCAACCTCGGGAAACCCAAGTCCCCCTTCCAGCCGGCGCACTACCCGCGCCAGTAACGGGAAGGGGGCATCGAGAACCATCGCAAAGGAGTGTGAGAGACTGCTTTGTAGAGACATGAAACGGATTTTCCTTGGTGGAGGGAACAATTCGAAGAGTGTTTCTGATTCGATGGGCTCGGTTTTCTTCAACGACAGCAACAACAGCAGCAATAACAACAAGAACGATAACAACCACAGTCATTACAGCAATGGGGGAAAGAGCGAGTTGCAGTTTATCGAGGTTTGGGACTACATGGGCGGTGCGAGCTTCAGAGGGTTTGTCGCCGACAAGGTTGGGAGAGGGAGGGTCGAGAAGACGTTGTTTTTGTTCTTTGAGAGTGTGGAGGGCACGCAGTTGAAACATGGGTATGTTGTTGTTGACTCTGATCCCAATCGCGATTGTTGGGTTTCGGTTTGCTAATTTCTTTGTTATAGACTCATCGCGCTTATTGAGCTTGCTACAGAGTGTTTCAATTGTGACCGCCTCGTCATTGCTCTAGACCGAAAAACAGACGGAATTCGTATGGCTACCCTACCCGATCTCAACATTGATCATTACTAATAATTTGTGTAGATGGCCTCATCCGCGATTTCGGCTGGGTCGGTTTTGAACTTATTACCCTTTCTCACTGGCTTCCCGCGCCTTCTATCGATAACGCCTCAAGAAGAAGCGACAGCTTCTCTTCAAACAGCTCTAGTGGTTCCGGCCGCAGTGGCAGCTTCTCCAGCATTGATTCGTCCTACTCATCGTCATCGGATGATGAAATCACAAGCGACAATTGGATCTTTGTAGGAATGGAGTTGTAAGGGTACCTCAGAAAAAACAAATAAAAAAACAAAACAAGGGATTGGGTTTCGATTCTGTTTGAACCTTTATTTTATGGCTCTTTGGTGGTTGTCTTTTTTGAACTCCTTATTTCATTTTCTTTTCCTTGCGCTCATTATCTCTTTTCCAAGGTTAGGGTGTGGATCATGATGGAATGATTTCATATTTCTTTAGCATTGTTTCTATACGATTCGTCATCGTATAATACTGTGTTGGTGCCTGTGGTTTTTCCTATATTTCTTTCTTGCATGGCCATTTGTTTTCTGGGTTTCCCCTCTGAACCCCGCCTGGTTCTTTGAATTAGCGTGGTACAAGAAAGGGATAGGCCGTCTGGTGCAATAGGTATTTGGTGACTTGTTCATTTTTTCGTTTTTTTTTATTTTTTTTTTTTCCCTTGCCAAAATACTTTACTTTAGGTATCCTGTATGTATGGAATTGAAACCCACTTCAGTTGGCCTTCTGTCAAGTGATCTATGTCGTGATACTGCCCGGTGGGCATTGGCTTTTATTTCGAATGGAATTTTTCCCTTTCATTCCGCACGCCCGACAGGTACAGTACTGATACTCTATATTGCTGCTGCAGCTCAGTCACCTCCCGGTACGAGTAGTTGATGCATGGTTACCGTGCCTGCCTGATGCTTCACCCGGAGGGGCCTGCCGGGTGAATGCGTTTTAGCAGCGCAAATGGTTGAGGTTCAAGCATGTCGTCCAACAGAGGGTTGAGGATTGGGATACGCTGCCTGGGGTGAGTACGTGCATATGCTGTCCCATCCATCTTTCTTTCCTGCTGGTCTAGAATACTCTATTGCGTTCCCTGCCTTGTTTGCTGCATGTTTGACCAATAGGGGGGGTGGTGATTGGTTTGTGGAGGAGTGGGGATTGGAGAGGGGGAAGTTATGCCTTGTTAGGGCTTCCGGGGGAGGGTGAAAGGGCGGCGTTGATTTTGAAACGAATAGAGGTTACATTTGCTCTGTGGTGGGCGTGAGGGGAATACATGTAGTCATATTAGATCACTCGGGGAGAGACTGCCGTTGCGTATACTGAGCTATGAATGTAGGCTACCGAAACAAGTGATTTCGATCATTCCCCCAATGATCTCCCTTGTCAGTAAAAGACATGTTTTAAATCTACAGAGTACCTTAATGAACACCCCGATTACTCTGCTTCTTGTATAACCATCATGTAGAACCATCATGTTTCAATGCACCCCATTTGCTGACGGCTGTTTGTTTCTCCCCCGTTGTCTTGGGGGGTGGGTGGTACACACGCGCTAGCTAGCATAGCACACACATGAGCCGCACACGTCGGCCCGCTGCTTAGGTACCAAACCCCACGTTACTTCGCGATCAACAACCAATCCACCCCCCCTAGGTCGGTGCCATGGACGACGCCGATATAATCTCCGTGAAGCTCTCCGAGCTCTTGCGACACCCCGAGGTAAGCTTCGCTATCACCTCCCTGGCCTAGCTAGCTCAACTAACCCGCTTTCCAGGATCTCGACAAGATAGCTGCCCTGAAGTCCGAGTTCACGAGGAAGAAAACACATGTCGACGCGCAGCTCAAGTCTGGCCTGCAGAACCAGATCGAGGTTACGCAGGTATGGCGTCTGGAGCTTTGTTGGTGCTGGGGGTGCTAATGTGTATGTAGTCTGGCATTCGGGCGATTGTCGATGGGCAGAAGACGCTGCATGCGATTAAGGAGGAGATGATGAAAGTCCGTCTATTAACCCCCCTCCTCCGTAGCGACCGCGGGTCCATTATTTGGTGGGGGGCTTGGCTGATTGGAATAATTGGCAGATAGATAAACTATGCGCCGAAGCAGAGAATATGATCCATGAGTTTCCTCTAATAAACAAGGTATGAGACACCCGCTGGCGATGTTTTGGGAGATGGGGACCTTCAACTGACTGGGGAAGATCTCGAAAATTCACCGGAATTTTGTCGCAGTGGAAGAGATTAAATCAAGTCTACAGGGACTTGATATTAAGCTCAATGAAGTAGGCCGTATGCTGGAAAGCGACTCGGGAGATTGTATGTACAGGCGGGTACGGGCCCTAGTAAGAGTATAGACTAATGGCCTCGTGAATATAGCATTAACGAACGAAATGCCGAATATATTACCCGTGCACTTTGCAATCACCCAATTGCAGGATTTTAAGGCGGATGTCATGCACCAAAGCGAACGTACGGACAACGATGTGAAGGGAACGCTTGAGGGCTACTTTGCACCTCTCGAAGATACCGTCGGGCTGTTTGATGAGAGGGTGGGGATCATTGCGATGAGTCTCATTGAGCTAGTCCGTGCCGGAAATAGGAGTTTGGTTGTTCGGCTAGCAAAGATTGTTGATGCCGAGGAACGGTCAGATGAAAAAGTGGTGGCCCTTCAAGAGGCCCAGACATCACATCAGGAGATTGCTTCAAGGTAAGTTGAACTATATTCCGCTCAAATTTTTACAAATATCTTTCTAAATCTCGGCGTTTCCCACATAAAGGTTCAAATCAATACAAAAAGGGCCCAAGATCGCAAGAGGGTACAAAGAGAAATTCCTGGCGTGCATCAATGCTTCCGTCCAAGCAAAATTCGAGCAAGCAAAGGAAGAGTTTGAGAATGACCCCGAAGGCCTCGAGGAATGCTTAAATTGGTATTTTGATGATCTCCGCACCGTTAGGGGTGAATTCACCAAGCTTGTTCCTCCACGCTGGAAGATTTTCGACACCTACCTTAAGATCTATCATGACCTTATGCATGATTTTCTCAAGGAACAGATTGACAAACCTGACCTCGATGGTCAGAGTCTGCTATCCATCATCCGCTGGAATGGTGAATACAACAAGGGCATGAAGACGCTCGGTATCCGTAGCATTGACTTGAAACCCCATGTCATTGACGGCCGTGAAGCCGACCTCTTGAAGGAATACACACAACTCATCGTCATGAAGATGGAGGAATGGATGAACAACATTATCGAAGACGATACTAGAGACTTTGTGCAAAGAACCCATCAACCAAACGAGGAGGACGGGAAATGGCATATGTCGTCTGTACCGACTATGTTCACTATGATCAACCAACAGCTCAATGTTGCCCTTGACTCCTCAAAGGGAAATGTGGTGTCTGGTGTTGTTGATGAGTGTGTTCGCCTTCTCAAATACCGACAAACCAAATGGCAGCAAGTCATTGAGCAAGAGGTTGGCAAGCACATTAAGGCTTCTAGCAGGGAAGACCTTGATGACCTCCCCGACGGTATCCTAGAATATATGATGTCCGTCGCGAACGACCAGATCAGATGTGCCGCCTACACACAGGAAATCTCAGACCGTGTTGCACCACTACTCAGCAAGAAATACGAAGACGAGATTCGCCGCTCGTTGGAGGACGCAATGAATGGTTTCGTAGATCTAGCCACGTACTGTCTAGCCCAAATCATAGAGATCATCTTCAACGACTTGAGACCACCAGTCAAGAACCTCTTCACCGCTGTTTGGTACGGAGGAAACGATATGGACACCATGGTGACCACCATGCGCTCCTATATTGTAGATCTTTACCCTGGTCTTGACGACGACCTCTTCCCGGCGTTTATGCACCAGCTTTCGGAGAAGACTTGTGTTACCTATCTCTCATCTGTCACAAGCAACAAGGGTGTCAAGTTCCGATCTGTAGAGGCAGCCAACCAGATTCGGGCAGATGTAGGAGTTGGTTACGGGTTCCTTACGGAGTTTATAGACCGTGATGAGGTCAAAGGAGTGTGGACAGTATTAGAGCATTTCCTGGCTCTCATCTGCGCCGATAAGATGACCCTCGGAGAGAAGTACGATGCGTTCAAGGAGGCGTACTGGGATCTACCCATGAACTGGGTAGAATGCGTAATCAAGAACAGGGACGACAAGACGAAGGAGTTTATGGAGATTATCAAGGCAAGACAGCATTACAGTCCTAGGGGAGCAGACCCTACGATTATGTCTAGGTGTGTATCCAGAACATGATCAGACAAAATACTATGATGGTAGGACCTATCCGAAGACATTTAGGGATTAGCTTTGCTAACAGACTTGCTTGCCTGTGTAGGGTTGTTACTTAAACTTGATACGAGATTTTGGAGGGAATTTTATATGTTCATTTTACGTTTTAGTGGGTTTTTTTTTTTTTATTCTTCATTGCAAAAAAATACTTGCGTTTCATTTTTGCAGCGTTTTATAGCGTGCCCCCACCCCCCCTTTTTTATATATATCTGTTGTGTGTTTTCTACCTAGGTTCTATAATAATTTCAAAAGGAATATTATGTGCTTCTAGAAATCTCGGATCCGAAGTAACGTACCCAGGTTAAGCTTAACTACGCCGCAGCCGTTAGTGTAGATCTATCCGTTTTAGGATAAATACATCGTAGAAAGCTACTCTAGAGGTTGTTGTGGGCTGTGTTGAATTCACAGTCTATCAAGTTAAGATATTTCCTACCGCAGATAATGTTTTTGTTTGTTTCCCTCCTTTGTGTTATTAGACCTCAGGCCGTACAATTTAATGCTGAAAAATGGAATCAAAACCTTTGATTCATTTCCTTCGTAGAGTTTTTTTCTTCTGCGTTTGCCCCTGCGTTTGCCTCTGATACATCCTTTGTCTCTACGATTTCCGCGGCCCTCTTCATGATGCCGAAAAGAAAGAAAGAAAAGAACATAGAAAAGAGTCCGGCCACGGAAAAGAATACTCCGGCATTCGCATTTTTGTCGTTTTTTTTTTTTTTTTTTGTAGTTCGTCAAGACGGGTCATGATCATAAAAACCTGTTTTGTTTCTTCACCTCGGCCAACCTGCAAAGATTTCACCACGAATACATCAGCCCTTCTCTCCCAAACCATAGCAAAAAAAAATAAGCAAACTATAACATATCATGGCAGGTTTCTGAGCCCGTATATAGAGACAAAAGATCTCACCTTGTGCCGCCAAATGTAGAGGTGACGAGTGCCTTCCATCCTGCGCATTGATATCCGCGCCATTCTCCAGCAGCAGCCTCACCGCCGCCTCATGTCCCCTCGATGCAGCCACGTGTAGGGCCGTCATCCCGCAGTAATCCTTCGAATTAACGTCGGCCCCATTCTCCAACAGCATCTTGACAATGGTCCCATCGTGCAGTGTGGACGCTGTATGTAGGGCTGCAGCACCATCAGTCTTGTTATGTCTATTGATGTCGACACCACGCTTTATGAGCAGCTCAGTCGCGGTGTTGTTCCCTTTCTTGACGGCCCAGTCGAGGACGGGACGGCCATTGTTATCTACTGCGGCCATGTCGGCGCCATGGTCGAGAAGGTAGTTGATAACCTTATCGTTGCTATGTGGGGGCCCCGCACACGCCTGATGTAGTGCGGTTGTAGAGTGTTTTATGTCGCGGTCTGAGACACTGGCGCCGCTGTTAAGGAGCGCCTTAACGAGAGATGTGCGGCCCTTCAATGCCGCCCAGTGAAGGGCGAGCCCATGACGGAGGACAAGCTTTGGGCCTTGTGCGAGGACAAAGTCGATAGTCTCGTCGCTAGGTTTACTAGGCGAGGTGTGCATCAGGTGGGGACGACGGCTGCTGTCATCAAGGACTGTAATGCCTTCTCCAGTCTCGAGGAGTAGGCTGATTAGTTGGCGGTTTCCGCCCACGGCGGCGGCGCAGTAGAGGGCGGCAGGAGCGTTCTGGGCAGTGGTAGAGAGCTTACGGAAGGATGGGGTAAGAAGGGTAGAGAGGCGGCGGGAACTCTGGAGAAGAGCGTTAAGGTCAGGAAGTTCAAGGTACTCTGCTATTCCGTAAAGGAGTTCGTTGGCTAAGCTTTGAAGAGAGGCCATAACTGCTATCCTATTCTTTATTTCTTTTTCTATAAGTCCTTTATTTATTGAGGTACTGGAAAGATGGGCAGATTCGTAGACGGTTGGTTTTGATAAGACAAGTGAATGGTGGGAGGTTGCGGGGTGATTGAAAGCTGTCTCGACTCGCAGGGAGGTGGGCGGTGCTTGATAGATATGTATCGCTAAGGCCAATATCACCAGTTGTCACTCGCGTCTTGAACACAGCCTGCCTTGCGCTCCGCCTACCCGCCACGTATTAGTGTAGATCGCGCACCGACTTCCCGTCTCTACAAACACAAAGAAGTGTTCGGGTAGGAAGGGAAAGCATATTTTATTTCGTTGCTTCTCTTTGTTCCTTGAAGTTTGGTTGTGGTTGTGCATGTGCAGCCATGGAGATGCTGCTCTACATATATATACATATACGTGATACATGTACTGGCTATGGGCATACCCGCGGATAAGGGAGAATACTCCCGGGACGCGGCCGATAAGAAAACGTATGTAGCTCGTCGATGCAGCTCAAGTACATACAGGTAGGATACTGCAAGAGCGGGGAAGGGCAAATTGATATTGCTGTTTTGGTTCACTTGAAGTCGGTTCAGTCGGGACGTTTCATGACTGAACCGACTTCGCGACTAGGCCAGAACATTGCGAAACAATTTTCTTCCTGATGTTCACGTGTGTCATTAATACGAGATTCAGGCTCCACCATAGTCGACCCGATTGAATGAGATGTTAATTACATATAGTGGGTAGTTCAGTGTATATATCAGTAAATATGTGACAGATCTTTCAGGAAGTAGGCTCATTAGATACTAGAATGGGGCATCATTAACGTCGAATCGACTACGCACCCTCTTCATCTGGAATATTGAACCTGCCTGCGCTTCACCTCAGCCGTCAAACGTGCAAAAAAGAAGTCGAAACCAAGTTCCGTGAGGGAAAAAAGAAACCAAAAACGCAGTCCCGACTGGATCGGCTTGGTTTATTACAGCCATTCATTGGGTAATAACCTAGGGATTTACCGACATACAAAACAGAAGGAGTGCCTTACTTGCTGCATTCGATCTATCGGATTAATGTAGTTCCATTTAATACACAGCGGGGGAGGCTTGGAAATGCATAGACTGTTTATCTACAGCGCGCCCTGATGACCAACCTGCTGTATTAATAATGGGATGTAATATCATATTAGCGGAGATAAGCCCTGAACCCTATGAATTTCGTGTATCGATTAATATTCAGGCAGAAGGATTCTTACTCGGCGCACAACTTCACCCGATGCTATCACAGGGAACGGACGATCCCAAGTTCATCATATATGTAGATACCAGTGGGGACGGAATGAAAGGGAAGGAGAAGATTTGGAAATATGTAATCCAGACGTAGATATGTACATGTAGTTTGATGGAGGCTAGCCTTCCTTGCCGTGGCTAAGAATCGTTTCAATCCAGGACACCTGTCGGAAACGAATACATGCATGTTCAAAACCAGAGCACAAGAGTGTGGGCCTGACTGTTACTTTATGTATTGTATCCACTGACAACGTGTTATCGGCCTTGTGTTCCCACTATTTGGGGGAGTGAGGTCACATGCCCTTGAAGTAATATATATCTTTTTAAAATCTCCGCTCAGAGAATCGAATAATTGTCGTAATTTTCATCACAGTCCGTCTTCCTGGATTTATATACCTGGCTTTCGTTCTACTAGCGCTTCACATTTCATCTACTGCTACATGTACAAGTACTTCCCTAATGGTGACCGGGCTAAAGAGAGTACTAAATAAAAGAACATGAGCAAGCAGAGTAACGTAGGTCCAACGTGAATGGCACTTTTGGCCCTTAGAGAAAGCTCCAGAAGCCAAATTTTTGCTAACCCTCTCACCACTTCCCTCCTGTTTGGGGTTTATCAACGCATAGTTTACGATTTACAAGCTCTGGATCGAGATTAGACCTCAAGGCAGAAAGAAAAAAAAGCTTCTGTCCTAGCTTCTGTCCTACCAACAGAACGCTCCCGTGATAGATGGCCTCAAAAAGCATCACTACTACATTGGGAGCCACCATTGCTAGCCTCCGATCAACTCTCTGGATAATTTGAGCCAGTGGTATTTCGGCCTTGAAGTTGGGAATGGCCAAGGTATCCATTATGTGGATCATGTCACGCATGTTTTACACCTACTTCTACCTTAAGACTATGTGTACCTAAGAGTTGGCCGGGTTGATCACGTTGGGTGTTGTGCACTAACATGGGTATTGCAATTGGTAAAGATGTATGGGCCAGTGATCATATATGAGGGATCCCATTCGATTCTCTGTCCGGTGGAAACATACTTGGAAATTCCCAGTGCCGAGGACAAGGAGAGAAAAAGAGAGAAGGAAAAAGACGCCCGAGCTCCATTCTATAGGACATTTTTTGCGCTTTAAGTAAATTCTAGCCACACCACGCCAAGCCCACACCACAAATGCCTATTAAGTTTATGGTTTACTTCATGGCCCCCAGCGGCGTGTGTGGGGACGTGACCGCGCGGGTGGAATATCAGCCTTCCCTTCTTACCGATTATTGGGTATGGTTGAACAGTGTTTGACTCATTGCACAGATGGGCAATTAACTTAGGCTACTAAGTGCACGATCCGGATGAAGCATCCCCCCATTCTTGTTGCAGTTTCACCAGCCAAGCTCACCTCATCTATCCTGTGGGTGGATGCTAGGCTCGTCCCAGCCCTCCCATCTACTCGGAGGGGATGTGAACGTGGCTACGTGTAGGTAGGCGCATATGATACGCAGATAGCTAGGTGTAAAGACGGAGGCGACAAAACACTACCCGTAGATCAACTGCATCGGCCATTTAGCGCGGATAGTGAGTCGAGAATCCACCATCCCCACTGGCAATACCGGCTAGATCTCTTGCTGGAAGGAAACAAAAGAGGCGGAGTATGGGAAGTATTTACTACGTATTTCGCATAGATCACACCGGCTATTTCTACCCGCGAAGTTCTAGGGGACGGCTTATATAGTGAACGATTTGAATCATGGACTATCACTCGTACACCCTGTTGCCAATTTTGGGGCCTATGAACATGCCATAATTAGGTTTTAAAATCTTTATAACCGTAGTAGCTAGGTACCGTCTTTGGGAAAAAGCTACTGGCCTCAGGACTTTCAGGAACGGAGTTTGATGGATGCCCAGCTAGATCTATGTAGCCGACTGATTTTAACAACCTTAGCCACCACAGTGGTCGAATACATCATTTTCTCCCTTCATGGCATTCATTCAGGTTTCGGCATACATAAAACTACACCATTCTTCGAGCCAAAACTAAGATAAAAGAAAAACCTCCATACCTGCGCGCGGAAACCCCCTGTTCTGCAACGAAATGAAGAGAAAAAGAAAGAATAAAACCCAGTAGTTAAATTAATAAAAAGCTGTTTTGAAGAAAAAGGAATACAGGACATCGTTTACTTCTCCTCTGTCTCGGTCTCGACCTTGGCCTTTTTATTCTCGCCCTCGCTCTTCTCACTCTGGTCTTCTGGTGCGGCTTCTTCAGCGAGGTCGTCAAGCTTTCTCTTGCCGCCCTTGCTCTCGCCAACCACAACATCTACCTTCTCCTGCTCCTTCTTTTCGGGTGCAGGCGCAGGCGTAGGAGCAGGCTCCTCAACCTTCACCTTCTTTCTGACCAGCCCGGTCAGATCATTGGCCTTACTCATGGCCTCCTCGATCCTCTTCTTGGCGCCGACCTGATCCTCGCCGATCAGCTGTCCCAATAGGCCCTCCAGTTTCTCTTGGCCGGGTACCGTTTCTGGCGTTCTTAGATCCACGAGTCTTGTCTCAAGCTCCTCAACCATTTCCCGGGCGTCCTTGAGACTCTTCGTGACCACCTCCTTCCCTTTCCTTTTACCACTCTCGTCCACGCCAAGCTCTGCCTCTTCCTTCGCAATGCGCGCGCGGCAGGATGCGATGGCCTTCTCCATCTGCTTGGCGGCGGCATCGCGACCCTTGGCGCGGTCGCTGGGCGAAACATCTTCTGCGGCGGCGGTAAACTCGAGCGCGAGGGAGAGCTTGAAGTGCGCTTCTGAGATAAGCGTGGATTCTTGCGGGTAGAGGGTGAGCTTGAGGTCCAGGGCGGAGGCAAGATCCTTGGCGGCTTGCGCAAAGGACTCGGATTCGAGCGAGACTTCGCCGAGGATATCGTAGGTGTCGGCGAGCATGACTTTGAGCGAGTGGGTCTCGTCTTCTGTCAACTCGGCGGCGGGCTCGGAGTCAGCAGCAGCATCGGCGGATCCGGGCTCTGTGGTTCCGTTCTCAGCCTTGGTCTCTGTCTCGGCCTTGGTCTCTGTCTCAGCCTTGGTCTCTGTCTCAGCCTTGGCCTCGGGGGATAACTGCTTCTCGAACAGCACGCGCGCATAGTCCAGTATCTCCCACGCGAGCGTAAAGTCGTCGTCATCGTCTGCTTTCTCCTTCTCATCCTTCTCGTCGCCGTCCTCCTCGTCCTCGTCCTCTTCGTCCGTGTCGTCCCAATTCTCGTCACCCATGAACTGGAATAAGCCGGCCTTCTGGCCCGTTTCCAATGGCTTTACCTCTACCTTTACCTTTTCCTTCTTTGTAGAGTCCTTCTTCACCTCCTTGGTGCTGGCGCTGTTGTCCTCCTTGACACCGCCGAGAACATCGCTCTTCTTAACTGCGACTTCAAAAAGCGAGCGCCCATAGAGGTAGAGCAGATGCGCGTTTTTAGGGTTGTTCTCGCCATGGATAGTGGACTGGAGTTCGCAGGCGCTGGCGTAGAGCTCGGTGGATACCGCGTAATCTTTTTGCGAGTAGGCTTTGAGGGCGGCGGCCTTGAGGGTTGCGAGCTTGGACTCGGGGGTGGGAGCAGCTGCAGACGACGACATTTTGTGTTGTATGTATTATAGCTATGAGGAAGGGGGTGAGCGGGTGAATGAGATGATGGTGCGAGCTGAGAGCGAGTGAAGATGATTTTGTTTGTTTTGATGGCTGGCTGCAGGAAATGGTTGTTAAGCTGGTTTATTGCGCGGGTGTAGGGTTACACATGTGGTTGCGTTGCAGGGATTATTCTGATCTGCAGGAGAGCCGCATGGGTGGGTTTACGCGTTTGGAAATGATCGAGATAGCAATATATTGTATTAGTGCCTGATAACTACATGTATGAATAAACAAGATTCTAGACTCCGGCTTCGGCAACCTCTAGCTCTTCTTGACTATCATCTGCATCAACATCATCTCCGTCAGCCTCACCTTCAGGAATATCCGCTTTCTTTTTCCCACCCTGTTCCTGTTTGACATATAAATCTGGGCCCTTCATCAGCTATCACTCGAGTCATAAACCAATATAGATTATCAAAAGGCCCACATACCGGCCAAAAACTGCGGCGTACTAGCCTCCTCTATGCTCTTATCGCTCCTCTTCCTCAAGAATCTTGGAAATCTCAGACTGAGCCCTCTCTCCTCATTTACTAACCCCATGGCCGCAGAGTACGTCGGGCTCAATGTGATATCCGCAAACGCTATCTCCCACACCTCTTTCGGCTCGAACCATACCGCAGGGCGTAGGGAAGTTTCGTAGTACGCTTTTTTGTTCTTTGAGGTGTTTATATTGTTTTCTTCGGATTCATCATCGTTGTAGAATTCTTTCATTTCTGCGTAGTATTTGTCGGTGAAGCCGGACATGCACTTACATACTGCCTCGAAAGTGCCGGTATCGGGATTGCGGACGGCAAGGAGTATTGGTGACCACCTGTGAATGAACCTGAGTTAGAAAGAAAACAAAGCCTCAATTGCACGAGTTCTACCATTTAGACTTTCTTCCAGAACCGTGCCAGGCAGCTATGGGTACAAGGTCCAGTGTGTCGGCAGCAGAATCGTAGTCCTTCTTTACCTTCAACCAAGACTATATTTTATTTTCGTTAGTAAATAGCCATCAATAATACTCTCGGTTAATTAGCTGTCTAACCTCTAGCCTTTTGTCCGGCTCATAAGTTGCCAGCAAGGCTTTCCTCCGGCCACCCTTTTCTTTTTCGTTTTTCCCCCCATCTTCTTTTTCATTTTCTTTGCTTTTACCTTTGCCTTTGCCTTTGCCTTTCGAAACTGGCGCACGTTCTTCCTTCATGGATTCTTCCTCTTCTTCGGGTGACAATGTTTGTGATGCATTGCTATTATCTAAAACTTTCACCATGATCCCCTCGCATCTAGCCTCTAGTGAAGACCTGAAGAATTCCCGTACCAAATCCACGTCGGCAGATGTTGCGTCTAGGCTCTTGACCCAGATAAACCTTCTAGGTATCTCAACAAACATGCTTTTCATCAATTCCCGCCGTTCCCTAAACGGCTTTGAGAGCAATTCCTACAGCACTGTTAGACTCTTTCGGACTAGGCAAGTACACGGATTACGTAGGTATGGGTTATACGTACATCCCCATTCAGATACATCAAATCAAACGCAAATAAACACACATGAACGCTGATGCTCCCAAACTCCACATTCTTTTTCTCCCTCCCCGCCAACGTCTGGAAGGGCTGAATGTTCCCCGTTTGCGAATCAATCGCCACGACCTCACCTTCCATGATGAAGGACTGAACCTCATCGCCTCTGATCTTTGGTACAAGCTCTACAAGATCCGGGTACTTCGAGGTCATCAGTTCAAGATGCCTACTAAATATCGATACCTTCCCATCAGAATCACAGTGGATCTGTGCCCGCTGCCCATCGTACTTAAACTCGCAGCTAAACGCCCTACCCTGGAGTTTCACCAGCATCTCCGCCAGGTCCCTTGTAATACTACCCAACATTGGCTTCAATGGCACATGGATAGCCATCCCGCACTCAGCTTGCAGTACACCGATACCTCCTCTCACCATAGCAGGAACTATGTCATTATAATTTGGTCTCCTAGCAAAGCACCGCTTCAAAACCTCCTCGGCCTTGCTGAAAGCCTCCTGCCGCCCTTCCTTATCCTCCGGGATCTCCGGGCATTTCCACCCTGCATCATCGGGCGCAGAGAGCAAAAACGCACGCGAAAGAGCTATTAGCATCGTGGTCTTGACAGCACCGATACGTAAGTGCTGGATCAGGGTACGTGTGAGATAACGTATCTCCTCTCCCTTAGCATCGACCAGGAGACGTTCTACATGGCGCTGTTTGCTTTCTTGCGAGCCTTTTCCAGAGGTCAACGCAATTTTTGTGATTGTTGCGTAGACATTCTTGATCGCTGGACAGTTTGCGACTACGGGTCAATTGTCGTATAACCAGGTCCGCTACGATGGGTAAAGCACTTACTTAGCGGCGTGGGTTTTTTCATTATCAGTACTCTTTGCTTCACCTTTGCCTCAAATGCAACATCCCCAGGATCACCATGTTTGTTATACAACTTCTTCAACGCGGCGGGTGTAATACCGCTTGTTTTAGTGAGCGCCTTACTAATGATTGACCCTCCAAGACCTAATTCATTAGTCTCGTACGATGGCCCAATATCATTTGTCGTCAACCAGACCTCCCGAGAGTTAGCCGAGTGATATTCCATGATTATGTAAACTAGGGCACCCCCTTCAAAGTCAACGACCGGGTAAACCTACAGCGTCGAGCAAGCTATCAGGATCCAGTCTTATCAGTGTCCTAATGAGATTCACCAACGTATCCACAATCCTAATCCTCGACCTTGTTGAGTTGACCAATACAAAGGCTCTGGTTAAAAGCCCATAGGGCGCCTTCCCATTGGGCCACTTTGCAACAAGGCTCCCATAGATATCCGGATCAAATTGAAGCGGATCCGTGTCGAACGGCATCTCCTCAATCAGAATATCGCTCTCTGAGGCTGCATCAAGCAGCACGGCTGCTGTTTTCTTCGGGGTGGGTGGGACACTGAGGACGGCTTGCTTGCCGGTTCCCACCAGTGGTGGTAGCGATGGCGGTATTTCCCTTGCTTTCTGACCGTAACCAACTTCCCCACCAGTTGCGGATAACTGCTGCTGCTGCTGCTGCTCCATGCCACTTATTTCTGTAGCCTTAGAGGAGCTCAACTTCCGTTTTTTTACCCCGGTTACTGTTGTATTACTTGGACCACCAGCGTTACTGCCACGGGTTTCGTCTTCTTTAGCCCATTGCTCGGCCAACTTTCGGGCGTATTCTTCGTCTGTTAGGCCTTCTGAAGCTCCATCGAAGACTGCCTTTGGTTGTGCGGCGGCCTGTCGTTGTTTGCCAAAGAAGAAGTCAAGGTTTCTGGACTGTTGCGAGGTCACTGGAGAGCTCTTTTTCCTGCGTTTACTTGGACTGGCCATGTTTATTGGATTAGATGGTGTTCGATGGAACCGGGAGTTCTGTGTTTATCTACGAAAGCTTTGTTGTATGTGGCGACGTCATGACCTGTCCTGCAGGTGCCAAGCAACATCATCTTGAGTTATCAATAATAATTATCCCAGACCATCACCAAGATATTTTAGAGTGAACTTGCAACAGTATAAGCAATTAATTTCTTTTGATAATCACCAACTAGTAGAGGCCCAGCAAATTTCAAGTTTTCAATTTTATTTTATTTGATTATGCAGGCAGAATAACGATGAGATAAGACTCTCTGGTATACACGAGAGGCCTAGGAGGCTTGAAGTTTCCACCCTCTGAGTGCTTATATCGTTTTCTGTCTGAGTCAGAGGAGCGAAAAGTCACGCCGCCAAAAATAAAACTCAAGCGAATGCCACAGTTAGCCTATGTAAACCCCTCGTCATCTTACTCTTTTCAAGCCCTTCCCCCCACCAGCTCAACAGATGAGTTGACTCTTTATTTTCCCCGTGAACTGGCTAGCCAAACCGACGAGTCGTCCATAACTTGAAATACGAAACCGTGGGCGATCGTAAGGATATTTGAATTTCGGACTATTGCTCGACTATTTCGGTTTGCGACGGGGAAAGACAATTGATGGCTTTTCGTTCGACCGACCGAGACAAACTAATCGACCGTACGCTCGTTCGTTCGAACTGCAACCAGATAAATGTAACACCCAAAAGCCTTTTTTTTTGATCCAAACAAAAAACCAGAAAGAAAGATGACATAACAAAACAGTGTGACCAATGAACAAATAGGACATGATAATTTCAAGTAGCAATGACCCAGGAGGGAGGAAAAAACTTGTGAGGGAGAAAAATTACTACCAAGAAAACAAGAAAGTTGTTCTCAAACTTTTGCAAATTTATATCGCCCTTCCTGCCGCCGCCGCAGTAACAGAAAAGAAATTTTGTTGGGACTCAAGTCTTTGAAATTTAGGAAAAAAGTGGAAGAAGAAATATGGGAAGGTGAGAGGGAGTGAGACATTATCCAGTCTTACGAGTAGATACGACGTCGGTCCTCTAATCCGCGATATCCGCATCCGCAGTGTCTAAGTCATCATGGAGAGTATTGTGAAGGGGAGAGTCTGTTTTGTCAGCCACGTGTGACGTGGGCTCGGTTTCCATATCATCCACGATAGGAGACATACCCTTGCGATGGTCACGCTCCTCTCCATTTGCAGGGGCAGGACTCCTATCTCGCTCGTCTTCGTTCCTGCGTGGTTCATCATCCTTTCTGACCATTGGACTTCTGGAGCGGTCACGGTCGCCGCCACGTCTGTCACGGCGTGGGGAAGAATCGCGGCCACGGGATACTGAGCGACGACGTGGGGAACCACCACGGCGACCACCACTACGAGGAGCATCACGACCGCCATCGAAGCGCCAGCTAGCGGATGGAGGGGTGCGGGCCCACTGGTTTGATAAAATCAGAAAAAAAAATTCTTGCTTGAGTAAATCGGATTCTTGCTTGAGTAAATCGGGGAGTGTTCTTACTTCAATCTTCAACAGGTCGTCGCGACCGATGCGACGCCCATGCATTTCGATGTAGGCATCGTCTGCATCACGTCGGCTCTCATATTCAACAAAAGCAAACCTAGCGGGCATTGAAAACTGTCAGCCACGTCGACCAATCGAAAGCCCGGTTTGAATAAATACGGCAAATTGGAAGGCGAACATATGGGACAGCGAGGGGAAGGCAGATACTTACAAGCGAGAAGAAGCAGTCCTCGGAGCCGGAATATCACAGCGAACAAGTCGACCATACCTGTTGTTTCGGAACGTTGACACCGTTAGACGAGCGAATTCTAAATTTTTTGAAGCCAACGACGTGGACGATGACGACGGAGTGACGGTAGTAGTAGGAGACGACAACGAAGCAGGAGGGGTATTATGCGTGGTATTCTGCCGCTCGCGAGGGAAAAACCGACGACGACAACGAGTTCGATTCGACGAGGAACGAAGGGCACGAGGGATTACATCGCGTATAGGGTTGACAGGAGGGACGATCGTAAGGGATCAAAGTAGTATCATCAATAGTAATGGTAGGAGAGGAAGGTCTAAGGGACGATCATGGACGAGGGTAAGAGGATGATGTTAGGCGGATTTTTCAGTACCTCTCGAATTCGTAGGCAAGATCACGAGCACGGGTGCCAGACGAGAAGCCCGTCACATATAGCGTGGTGCCGCCGCTGCGAGACATGGTTTTTGTTTTTGTTTGGGGGGTTGAAAACAGGTGCAAATTGATGAGATGAAAATGGTGTGGGGATGAAGCGGAGGGAGGATGAGAAGGAAGTAAATTTGATGAGCTGGAGGAAGGTAGAAGGAGAGGAGAAAAGGGAAGGAAGGAAGCGAGCATGGAAGCTGAAAGGCTTTTAGGAAAGGTGGTGGCTGGTTCAAATCGACAACACAGACAATAGCTTTGTATCAACGTGCCAAGACTTCGCCGTCCACGCATGTTACATACAACAAGCCAATACACGGTTTTAACCCACAAAATCTATTATACAACTCATCAAACATAAAAAGTAACCCCCTTGCGTGCCAGAGTGGCAGAAATTTATTCTCTTTGAATCGTATGCATATCGAAGCTGCTTGCAGATTGAACCCCAAAGAAAAGCGCCCAACAAATCATAGAGAATAAAGTAAGTCGTTAAAGTTTAGGGGAAGTAAAGAGCTTATGATGTGCCGTATCTTAAATTTCGTCATCAAAATCCTGCATGATGGTTTCTTCTGGTTCATCATCCGCCCAACCACCACCGTAATCAAAGTCCATCGCGTCTGGATCGCCCATAGATAGTAATGAGGAACCGCCACCTGCCATTTTAGCAAGCCGGTTGGTCCATTGGATATATTCCTTACTCAATCCAAGTTTTCTATCCATCGCTTTTACTTGTTTTGTTAAGCTTATTGTACGGCTGATTTGACTATCCAGGGCCCGAAGATTGCGTAGTTCGGACAAAGGATTATTGTGGAAATGGACAGTAGTTTGTGACAACTTGTAGTCAGGCTCTGATTGCGAGAGAGAGGCACGTATCTCATCGCGTTCAATCTGGGAGAAGAGAGAGATGGTTAGCTTTATTATTTATGAGGAATCGTAAATAAAGAGACTCACCATCCCTAAAACAACACCCTCCGTTTCTTCTTTACCCCCTGCGTCTCCTCCTCTCCCTACAACTTCAAGGTTCTTCTTGGAAATTTCCTCAATACTCAAAGTAACATATGTGTCTCGTAATGCGACGATCTGCATTCGTCTAAAGACATCCATGCATTGTACTGCTAACCCGGTATTTCCATCTTGTCTGAAGACATCAGATAGTAAAGCAGCTTCTGTGCGAAACATCTCCGTACTTCCAGACTTGAAAGCTTGAGCGAAGGCATCATAAGGTTTTGTCAACGCTTTGTAGGCCCGTACTGCCGCTGCAGAGGTAACTTTGGGCATAGGCAGTGGCTAAAGAATATTAGCTTTGTCGATAACAAGCACATCACAATGGATCGGGGGAGGGAATGAGAAACCTTTCCGTCGAGTAAGAGTCCTACGAGGATATATTTCTTGTAAGCTTCAACTTGTATTAACGAACACGCATTACCGGGGCAAGCTACAACCTAAACAGTGTGTTAGTTCCATGATTCGCGAACTACTTTGAAGAGGTTCAACGAACATAAGTTAATAAATCAGCGGCTCTCCTCCACTCTTTGAGACCCATATAAATCATCCCACCGTACAAGAAGTAGCATAGCAAATCCTGGTATGTGACTTCTTTTCTACTGTTGGACATATTTTCGGTTTCTCCAGGTTTGTTCTTGACATATGGAAATTCTACCAGGTCGATATCGAGAACAGCAGCGGCATCACGGTAACATTTGGTCATTAGGCAGAGGCGAAGGAAGGAAGTGTGCATGAACGAGAACCGACTAGGATTATAGCGAATAATAGCCTTTTTGATGGGACGTACAGCGATGAGCGGCTAACAATTACGTCAATAAATACTTATATCAAATAAACAAAAATGGGACTTGTTTTAAAGCAAAAGAGCTTGCCTTTTGGCTATCCACAGCATGAGCGTAAAAGGCCTCAAACAACCTCCTAAACATATCGGGAGCATTGCGAATTTGTCTGGAATCAAAGTTTTCTAGAAATAAAACGGCATTCTTCCATGTAGCCTCAAGAGCGTTACGTCCCCCGAGATCTAGCCGGGCAATTCTACAGCAACAATTAGTCCATCAATATTCCTGAATGGTCCCAAAGACCCTTAAGCACATACAAAACATATAGATAGACCAAACTATTGGCGGTAGGGTTCAGAATGGTCAAAAGATCTGTTCCATTGGAATTTGAAGCAAGTGTAGCAGCAGGGGTCTTGTTTAAGGTATTGATAAGAGTAGCTGCCTGCTTATTGAGCTCCTGGTCTGAGAGATTCTGAGATGAGGGGAATGTGAGGAAGACATCAACAAGCTTCTCCATGTTTGAAGATAACTCGGTAACGATTTAGAAAAGAAGTCAAAGTGTTGGCAGTTGATGATGTGCGATGCGGAGGTTCAGTGGTTTGACAAAGGTCCAACGTGGGGCAGCTTGCTTAAGGTTAGTAGATGTTCTCAAGACGTTCTCAGCCTCCGCCAAGAAGCTGCTATAGTTGGTCGACCCCGCGGTCGCAGTGTGACTCAGCTGCCCCTCATGCAGCCCTAACCCATGCACTAGCAGCTGCGGGGCTCCTCCAGCGTCGATCCTACTAAATGAATTATACAAATAAAATCTGCTAGAAGATCCTGCGTCCTCCCTTCAAATTCAACAGACCATCCTCACTTTACAATTGAGCTCCCCCCAAAAATGGCATCCACCAACTCCACTGCAGAGGGCATTGCCCGTACGGCCTCCTCAGCCTCGTACATCCTCAAGGCAGTTGCTGGTTCGGAGCGTAATGCTGCACTGACGGCGGTTTATGAGCACCTCCAGGCCGCAAAGGATGAAATAATCGAAGCCAACAGAAAGGATATGGCGGCGGCGGAGGAGCAAGCAGTCGCCGGGAAACTGAGTAGGAGTATGATTAAAAGATTGGACTTGAGCAAGCCAGGGAAATGGGAGGACATGTTGCAGGGAATTCTGGATGTACGGGATTTGGAGGATCCAGGTGAAGACCAGTCAACCCGGTTTAATAGACTATGTAACTTGGACCCTAACAAACATCCCATTATTAGTTGGAAAGGTTACTTTAGCTACTAAATTGGACAATGGACTCGACCTTTATAGGGTTACGTCCCCAATTGGTGTGTTACTTGTCATCTTCGAAGCCAGACCGGAAGTCATCGCAAACATCACCGCTTTGGCATTAAAGAGTGGTAATGCGGCTATATTAAAGGGCGGGAAAGAAAGCACGCAGTCTTTCGCTGCCATTGCTCGAGTAGTTTCCTCTGCACTTGGAACCACCTCAATTCCTCCAGGTGCAATCCAATTAGTCGAAACCCGAGAGGATGTAAGTGCTCTTCTTGACCAGGATCAGTACATCGATCTCGTGATCCCCAGAGGTAGCAACGAACTAGTACGGTTCATCCAGAATAACACCAAAATCCCGGTAATGGGACATGCGGACGGCCTCTGTGCTGTTTATATCCACGAAGATGCCGACGAAGAAAAGGCTGTCAAAGTTGTATTGGACTCAAAAACAGATTATCCCGCAGCTTGCAACGCCGTAGAAACACTGCTTGTCCATGAATCGATCTCTAACACTGTACTCCCGAAGATTGCCTCGGCTCTTCTCCAGGCCGGCGTTTCTCTCCGCTGTGACCTGGCCTCAAGAAAAGCTCTAGAATCCTCCGGTCTTCCGACTGCAATGAAGGCTATTATCCAGGATGCCACACCACAAGATTACCATACGGAATTTCTTGATTTGACCATCGCGGTGAAGGTTGTTTCATCTTTGGAGGAAGCCATCGTTCACATTAATACTCACAGCTCAGGACACACTGATGGTATCCTGACCGAGTCAGAGGAGGTTGCGGAAAGGTTCATGAATGTTGTTGATTCCGCTGGAGTATTCTGGAATGCCAGTACAAGATTTGCGGATGGGTTTCGTTATGGGTTTGGGACAGAAGTCGGGATTTCAACAAACAAGATCCATGCTAGAGGACCTGTAGGCCTGGAGGGATTAATGATTTACAAGTACAAACTCCGGGGAAATGGCCAAGGCGCCGGAGATTATGGGAGCGGGAAGAAGCAGTATTTGCATCAGAAAATTGAATGATGTGGGTAGCTATTAAAGATGGAGTTTTCTTATTCGGGGCTTCTTTTGGGAGCATTCTGTTGGGCGGCGCCGCTGGTTTTATAGAAAAATCCGATTTCCTTCTGTATCTAAATCTAGGTACTCTAAAAGTTGATTGTTCTTTTTTATTATCTTCCTTTTTTTTAGTTCCTCAATCAGAGCTGAATACTCCAAGGAAAACCTACTCATATTCCTATTTTAGTATTCACCTAGCTCTCTACCAACACTGACGGAACTGCTATATACTCCGATTGGATGTAATTCTAAACTATAAAGCTAGGAAACATATGCCGTTCGGCGACGGCCTTGGCCTTTTGCTGGGACGCATGTACCACAAAGTCCCGGTTATATAGGTTGGGCGGCGTTGGATGAATAATTCCGAAACTGGTATCTGTACCGTTTGTAGTTATATAAGACTTATAGACTATTGATTCGGGATCAATCATTTATTGCTTAGCACATATGCATACTTTGTCGCGATTGGTGCTTGTAACCAGGATCAATCGATCGACATTGCCAATGACCATTATTACATGTTTTATCCAAAGCAGCGCCAAGCTTAATATTGATATAGAACTACATGTATCATGTAAGCTTTGGCCCAATCATTTATATTCATGTCCACACATTTGTTTGATAAACAAATAAAAGTACTGATAATAAAAACCTTTATACAGGATTGTACATAGGTACAATATGTACTACTAAGTTTCTCCACGAGCCCAGGTGCCAGAAGATGTTGCGAATCATGTGTATGACGGCCTGCTTATAAACGAAATTCGGGAAGGAAGTACGAACTATATGTATTGATATGCATAAGCCGTTACTGCTGAGAAATAGGATTCTTGTGATGTAGTATACCAATGACTAGAGACACATAATTATTGACATAAATATGACCAACCAGCCCTGAACGAAGAATATCGACCTTGACCTTACTAACCTCACTGGCCCCATTTAAACCCTTCTTCCCCCCTCCCTCTCCAGTTCTCTTCACCGTGATGATGGTTTCTGCAATGTGCGATAGAATTTTCTGAGCTGCTGCGTGCATGCGATGGCCGTGGCGGAATATTCGGGCTTCTAGGGTACATCTGATTGATGTCTCCCCGCTGCAAAATGCGTGATCCATAATCCCGCTGTTCCCGTGTGATACGTAATCTCTGCGCCTCCCTTTCCTGTGTAAGGCGTAATTTCTGCGCCTCCCGTTCTAAGAAAATGCGCAATCTGTGCTCCTCCCGTTCAGCAAAAGCGCGCTCTCTTTTCGCCTCCTCTTCCATCGCAGTCTGAAGTCTGTACATCGCCCGTTCTCTCAGTACCAGATCAAGACCGTCTGCTGTTATTTCCCCGATACAGTGGCCCAAAGAATCTCGATAAACAGTTTTCTCTACTTCAAGGAATATCAGGGAGGTTCCTTTGAATATTCCATAGACATTGGATAGAAGTTCCACATTATCACGTCCTTCATACCCTGGTGTCGTGCCTAGTGGCAAGAACGAACGGGCATCTTTTTCTTTCAGGCCTTTCCAGACAAGGTTGTTGCGGGTGGTTAATGATCTATAGAGGATGTAGAAGCTTACGCATTAGCTGAAGCCTGGCGAGAAACGTAGGTATGTCAAATGTTGGAAAAAGAAGAAACTTACATAACAAGAAAGCTACCATCGTTTTTCACCTCTAGAACAAGCCAAGGACGAGATTTTTGGTTTTTTCTGCGTGAGTATGGATTGGAGGAACCGGTGCGGATCTTTTGTTCTAATGACAAGACCGTGGTGATCTTTCCGGTAAAGTAGATTCGGCCGGGTGTTGGTGGACCTGTAAGATCGGGGTGTTCGGGTTGATCAACAAGATCCTTATAGCTTCTTACCAAATAAATTGGAGTGTCTATATCTAGTCATTGGATCGATTGTCAGGTTAAATTCAGCACGATCATAAATTACTCTCGACTCTAGAAATACTTACTTTCAGTATACATTATAGTAGACGATTGGATATGTAATGATTTCTCGGTGAAAAAAAGATGTAAATGACAATCGAGGATGACTGCGTTGTAAGTTTGACGAATGCAATGAAAGATGGTAAAATTTATAATTAAGAGGAACTCTATTGAAGATTAAGAAGAAGGATTGAGTATTTAGAAACATTCCTGAACCCCATTCTACGCAGCACTTGCCAGAAGTGAGCTATTGGCCTTCATTCAATGACCATGGCCACAATGGGTGGCTATCTTTCAAGGGCCGGGAGCTGGAAGTACTGATTTCACATTGTTTATAACCAAGCCCTATATATAGCTATAGAATGGATTCGGAGAAAATTCTACCTACAAGTAACTATACGTCATGTTGGGTTTATAATTCATATAATCATTTTGCCGGTAGTGAAATACATACCAGGTTTCAATGACGATTGAACATCAATTATCAATTGTATTGTTATCTTAGCATGGGACTAAATACTCTGAAATTCCTACCTTTATATATATGAGATTGATATATTGGTCAACCCATCATGTTATGCATTGACTTATAATACCCGTAACAGATTGGTATTTATCTATTGAAGTAAATACGTACGTCTATTTGAGTCAACACGTACGTCTATTCAAGTAAACACGTACACTATAACGCTAACTTTATGCAGGTACGAAGTATAATAGAAGATATAATGTACAGCTATAAATGCCTTAGAAGATCCACAGTGCTAGCTATAGCTATTTGAACTGACAATTGTATAACCAATCCCTACGATAGCTTAATTATATTCGCCCCCACGACGTCCATCCCTTGACATAACTTCGCTGTGAACCACTTCCACTTTTGTCGTTCGGACTTAAGACGTTGGATTGATTCGAATGTGAGCGCCCCAATATAATCATCCAACACAATTTCAGTAATCTCTTTCTCAATCTCCGGGAACAATAACGAGCGGCCAACGAAGATCCCTTTGGTAAATATCAACTGAAAGCTTTAGAGCTTTTCTTCTGGACTGCCCAGCTGTTGGTGAGATTGGAAGAAAACTGTAGTGATCATTATCTGAAATTATACTTTATTCTCTAGGTGCGTCGAACATCTAAAGAATTCAAATCTTTAGCAAAATCGAAATTTAAGAGGATTGCCTGTTATACATTACTCTGCATGCGTTACAACAACCCTCCCGTTATTCAGCTCCCACGAAACATGGACGGATTTGTGGCACTTGTTTTGTGTTCCTGGTCTTAGGGCTCTAAGACAAATCCGCTGTTCCATAGAGAGACGGACGGAAATTTTGTTGGAGAAAAAAACTGGCCTTCTCTGATGATACCTCTAGGAGGTTGAATCGAGCGATTCAAAGCAACAGATGTATATGGATGGGCCGTGTCTCGGGGAAACTGTATTAAATAGGGTAAAGATACGTATATGTAGTAAGTTAAGTGATTGTTAATATTCGGTGGATAGGTCGAAACACACGCATGAAAACAGTATCGAGATCGACTAGAGGAATTGAATTGCGAGTATCGTCGCTGATTACAGTAAAAGCAACGGAATTATATATCTGGCGACTGTTCGCGCAGAAACACTTTGCCGCAGAGGAACTGGTGGTCACGCGACAATTCGGGCGCTGTGATAGCGACGTCCTACCTGTGATCTACGCTAAACTCTTCCTTCACCCGCTTGTTATCAAATTGGAGATGAAGACGGAGTACGGAGTGTTCACACAAGCTTAAGCATGCGCACTATAGCTAGGTGCGACCTGCCCAAGATTTGGGTCCCAATTGTTCTAGTGGACAGCAAACACAAAAAAGAGAATGCTCTACGGAAGCAAGCTTGGTCGCGATTGAGATACCGACGGAAAGAAGGAAGCTCAACGAAAATGGCTTGTTAGATTTAGAGAACGAAGCCGAGCACCCTCTTTGTACTTTGTTAACTCTACCACAATTAGTATGTAGTCTCGAGTGATATCTCATGACTCCGCCTGCAACCTGCTTTAAGCCTATTTACGCGGAATCCTCCATATCCCAATGAATTCTTGCACGTGCTAGATGTACTGTATCTGCATCTACTTTACGTAAGTGACCATGACCGTATCTAGCTGAGCAGCTACATGAACTTAAACTACAGCCTCGCAACAGTTACATGGGCCATCATGTAACACTACAGAGTTCAACACTATTAAACCATAATCAATTGATCAACAGTGGCTGGTGATCATGGTTTCCTTTCTTTCTGGGGTTACGGATGGAAGCTAATACGTGTATATAGTGAGCACCAGGGTGCGGCATGCATGAGCAAAAGCATCTTTTGATTCGTAGCCTCGAGCATACCTAAGAACGCAGATTTTACTATATGTACTGTACTACCTTAAGTTATAGCTCATAGATGATGGCATCACGAACGTTTCCTGGGTGACAGTACCCATCCTAGCTAATTATATGTAATCTACATTCAATTATATTTTTTAAACCCTACAGGTCAAACATAATCGATCCCTAAGAAGCTTCGTTAAGTATTAGGTGATCAACGCATTATCTCTCAAGCGGAACCGGAAATCACTCAGAGACATGTTCTAATTCAGTAGGTACTCCAGGGGGCCACCCCACGAAATCTTTACTCTAAATCTGACGTATAAATCCTCCTCCCTGATAGCCTACCCACGTGATATCACTAAAATGATAAAACTGCGGTCCTTACTCCTGATGATATCAATTATACGTGCCCGAATCGCGAACACTGTTAGTGAATAGTTGTACATGTGAATGAGTATGTATAAGTCCACACGAAAGCCTCTAGAAATTCCTTGCTTCATCCCCCGGACGTACAAAAGGTAAATTGAAGAGGATAATAGACCTCAAGTCAGCTAATGCATAAGAAATGATGATTGGTATGAGATATAATGTGAACACTCTGAGTTACCAACTCAAATTAAGAGCCCCAGAAACAACCTGCTCGCGGTTTACTAAGAAAAACCCAAATGGAAAGAGAAAAAGTGCATGCTACAAACTCCATCTAACTACAAACCGCGAAGTTTCTACGCTTCCGCCGCATCCTCTTCCGACTCGGACCAATCGAGCTCACTACCTTCCTCAACAGCCGTGGCCCTTCTCTGCACCTCTGCAAGACCACTGAGCTCTTCGACATATCCTTTCTCATTTAGAGCTCTCTTAACAAAATCCCACTCATTTTCCCTGTAAGCTTTGATGATGGGCTCCGAGCATGCTGAGCAGCAGTCGTATGCGCGACCCTTAATCATCATATTCGAGAAGTTTGCCAGAAAACCACGGATTGTGTGCGGGATAAGACCTAGAGGATGACTACCACGGTCTTCTTTTGATGTTTCTGGTGCTGAGGCAGCGGCTCTGAAAAGGTTATCAGATGAGTATTAAGCAGATCATGTAGTGATATCTATACATACCCGAGGTCATGCTGAAGAATTGAGACAAGTGTTTCTACCAAGAGAGCACTCGCAATTGGCGCAAGCCCAGGTCTGGTGACAGTACATTGTTGGTCCAAGGTCCTATCTGTCAGACTCTGTAAAATATCGGTCAGTTTTGTTCATTAATATATATTGGAGGAATGGGGGTTTAGCTACATCTCCTGGAGCTACAACATCATTGCAATAATAACAACCTAATTCCTCTCCAGTCTCCTGTCCTTCAATCTTTTCAATTTTGACCCCATGTCTCATAATAACATAGCTGTCAAATCCAAGAGCGGCGTTCATCACGATCTTTCCCATACTTTTCCCCATAACTGTGGGCAGCCACCTACTCTCTCTAGTATCCATCAATAGAAAGATCGCATCATGTTCTTCGAAAAGTTGTTTGAGCTTTTCATAATCCTTTTTAACGCTCTCTTCTTGAGCATCGGAAAATGGGTGAGCTGCCATTGGTACGGTCATATCGAACCCTTCTGCATCCACTCCTGGGTATATAGCTTTGAGAGCTTCTGCGGCCTGGGTGGCCTTTTTGGTCTTTCCCCCAATACAATCCTCAAAGGTGAACAGGGGTTGCCGAACTGGGTTTGAGAAGGAGACAGTGCCCGAATCGACGAAAGTGATTTTATGAACTCCCCAACCAAGCAAAACTCGTGCAACATACGAACCTAGCGTACCAGCACCTAGTAGAAGACATTTTGTCTTTTTAATATTGTCAAGATTTAAATCTGGTGCGATTCGCCACTTCATGAGTTTAAGGTTGAGATCAACACTAATATCCGCTTGCCTATGGGACGCGATTAGCATGTCTCACATTTAATTGCGCAAGATTACTCGCCAAACTGAAACTGAAAATCTTACTTTTTTGAATCCATGGACGCTGATAGGTAGGCAACTTTTTGTCGAATTTTATTATCGTCACCTTTCTCCCAACCTACAACTGGTGGCATCTCATCTATTGAAATGCGCCCTTAGCTAACCATTATTTCTCTCCATATAAAATCATAACTTACCTAAGCTCATGTTTGCAAGGTCTCCTTCAACTTCGGGCTTTTCAAGTTCTAGGTCCATGATAAAACTCTTCGGCTCATATCTTTCTCTGTGGACATCCCTATAACAGAGGACTTTAACTTTTTTCCATCCCCACCTTTTGCGAACAAGCATCAATAAGTTTCGTAAAGGCCATCCGGGATACTCGTCATAGACGCACGGATCCACGAATGCAACAAAACGGTCCTCTTCATCCACATCTTCTCCAAAAAATCCTCTCTCAAAATCCCCCAGCGCACCAATCTTCCATGCCCCCTCATCCCGCTTTACTAGAAAGAAGCCCCGCTGTCTAGAATCCGCGCTGTATCTCCAGACATTGACTGCGTCTACTAGCGTGGAGGTCTGTTGGGCGTCAAACCTATCGATAGGCCCTTTAACGGACCATTGTGGGGTAGAGACGAATGCGGGGAATGCAAAAAGATGGTGAAATTTATATTTCTTCAAATCCGCATATGAGAGTATCAAGAACGATGCCAATAAAGAGGGCGCTGAATAGATAGATCCGTCATCTATGGCGTCCCAAATCTTCATCGGTATAAGCATATCACTTATATACATGTGAATGGGGTGGATTACCGTGCGTGCGACTTTCTGCAAGAGCTCTGGTCTATTGACTTTCTTAAACTCCTCGATGGTATTGAAGTTCTTAATCATGCCTTCAGCTCTACACGAGTCTTTACCAACCCTGTCACAGGACTATCGTAAGTACAGCATCTTTTACCGAGAAAAAGAGAAATTTAAAACTCTTACTCGTCGGCTACCAGAGCATTTCCGTGAATTTGCATCTCGGCTTTGCAAGGCACATATTGACCCAGCACTCTCCGTGGAGAGTCGTCAAGTTTATCATATTCGATCTTGTGGCTGGCAAGAGAGTAATAGAAAGGAGTCTCGATGGACGATATGAAAGTTGAGTATTTCATCCTTGCGCTTCGTCCGGGGGTCTACTTTTGATGTTGCTGATAACGAAGAGCTGTGTAATGCTGGAAACAGATGGTTCAGGTAGGGCAAAGTCCTCTGCAGGCACAAGCGAGTTATTTCACAGACCAGAAAGATTACCGGTAAAGTACGGTATGTGTGTACAAAGAAAGAACTAGATGCAGAGAGCCGGTGAAGAAATGAAGCGGGTTGGCTAGATGTAATAAACAGAGCGGTTGGGTCATGTACCTATTCTATCCTACGTACATATATGGAGTGAGGGGAAGGTATGGGATGAGAAGTGAGGGGAGAATGGGATGGAATAGATAGAATATGGTAGAGGCCGAGAAGGCTGTCTGGGAATGATATGATACACTGTGTGACGGAGTGCGGGGAGTCATGCGTGAAAGCATCATAGGGCCAGGATCACCGTGGTGCCTGTTAGGCACAGAGTGCCGCTCTTATCGCGATATCGCTTGTCTAGTCTACGAATCGCCACCTGAGGAAAGAGATGCCCGGTCAAATCGGTGTCTTTGTCTCGGAGGGCTGATAGTTCCGGTCCAACATGTTAAAAGCAGATGTTATAGTACGCAGGGGAGATTTACTGGGTGCTGGTTTCCGACGCACGTGGCCTAGCTAGGCACGATCCAGTGAAGCGAGTGATCACAGCCTTCAGATATCCACGGGTGCAATATTCTAGATAAACGCATGTGGGTCAGGGTTCCCTTTGACATTTACCTACATGCTTCTTAGACGTGGTAGAGTAAAGTACTCGGCAACGAAGAAGCTGGGTTGACGCTTCCAGGGTCAGCTGGCGATCCAAAGAAGCATAAAATCATACAGCAGCTTCATAACCTACAATACTGTAGATGCTCTACTCTAAAGGCACATGCGCGTGGTATGCTTACAAACATCGGTGGATGGCTCTAGTAAACACTCCATTTTATGTCGATCTACTATCAACTAGAATACGGGTACATATGTCTATATATGCAGTTGATTTTTGCCGAATAGTGATATCGGTGATGTCCAAAAATAATGACAATAACTGGAGCCATGTCAAAGGATTGGCGCTTCCTGTATGGTGTTTTGCAGAAGCGTTTCAGGCTTCACCTGCAAAAGCCACTGGTCCACCCCAGCGTGGCGGGCACTCGACAACATTCGTCCACGTTTTCCTCTCCACCACCCACAATTACCCCGATACCGCTGATATAATTTCGATGAAGATGCCAAATCCTTCCTGCAATCACTGAAGCCGGAAGAGTACGAGCGTCCTACTTTCCAAACTAGAGTAGACCTTTATATTTACTGCAGTCTTCCGTTTGTTTATCTTGTCTACCTTTTAAACATTCGACAAGTAGAGAAGATGAGCCGCAAAACGGCCGAGTTAGACTTTTCTTTTTGCCGTTCTAGATTCAGATCAGATCCTCCTCGCAGCTCACGTCATATGCGCGAGTCTCGGGTTGAGTATGTATGGGGTTGGGTCCATTCCAGGAAGTGGTGGAGAAAGGAGGCTAGAATTCCCTGAGTTGTATGTTGCATTGCAGGTGGGTGGGCTGTGAGTGGTGGGTGGGTGGTGGGAGGACCCTGACAGGGATTGCGCATCGATCGCATGGACCTCATCTCTCCTCCAGTTACACCTCCTGTCTTTCTTCCTTACCTTGCGAGAACCATGACCCGCCAACTCCTCTCTTGACAGCGCTGGTGGGGCGCAGAAATATAGAACAAGCTTGACTTCCTTCACACTCTTTTAAAATTCAACTTTATACATAACACTACTACCAGTCGCTCCTTTATTATTACTCTCAGTTATTACTCGAATTTTGTCTTTTTGACATATGTTTATACAAGAAATGGAGGTGTCGCGAGAATCATTAGTGCAGAATTTGACTGGGCTAAAGTCGCTACTACGATTGAATGCAGATGGGATTGGTGATGATGAGGATTTAGCTACATTGTTGAGCAGGTATTGTTTCCCCCTTTTTTTGTCGCCTGATCGTGTGCTACCGGAGTAGCCGCTGATTAAGCTATGGGCAAATACAGTACACGGCTAGCCTTGGATAGATTCGAAGGAGACCTTTTGGGGAATCAACATATAATCCGCGAAGACGTGATTACTCCAGATACATTACCACCTTCATCGAGTGCGTCCATTGCCGATGATGATTTGGATAGGGAGGATGGAGTGACTTATTTCAGCCGGCCTACAACCGCGTCATCAGTGACTTCGCAGCGTTTCTCCTTAGATTCGTTATCGTCAACATGGCAGAGCACACCAAACAGCCTCCTTTTTACATCACCACGGGATTCATTGTCGAGGAAATTTGGGTTTATGGAGAGCGTGAAGGATATACAAGAGTCAGCCGAACAGGAGGAGGAGGAGGAGGCCGGGCAAAACGACGTTGCCTTTCAAAGGTTATCAATGCTCCTTGCTGGTTTACAGGCACAGGCTGAGGCTGCAGTCGGTTCACCTGCTGGGCCACTACGACAATTTGGAGCTTTGAAGCCCCCTGCAGAGATCAAGGATGAAGAGGAGGATGAAGAATTTGGGAGAGGGGCAACATTATCCAGCATGTCACCATCCGCAAATCCATCTATGGCTACAACTACAAGCAGCACCATCGGTTTTAACACATCCTGCCCCGGAACCCCGCGTCTCGCTACTTCTTTTCATAGATCCTCATCTTCCGTGCCTTTAGTTTCACTAAGACATTCACGTAAAAATAGTAGGATCATCATCGACAAAGATGGAGATACATTTGGAATCCCGCTCTCTCCTATGATTCCCGTTTCTACAGCATCGAAATCACATACATTTGAATTGCCTCCTACGCCTCCCCCTACACTCAGAAAACGCCCCATTGGCCTAGATCTTGCCCCGCCGAAATCTGGAATTTCGTCGAGCTTACCTTCGCCCGCCGTTCTCTCAAGACATAACTCGTATTTGGTAACAGATACAGACCTTGAGACTTTACTAAGCGACTTTTTGGAGCAAACCCAGATAAGGAATATAGAGGGAGCATACGATATTATGTTCACACGTATATGGGCGTATCTTTTTGGCAGCGGCATCGTTTGGGCAATCGTAGGCTGGCTGTTAGGATGGGGTTGTAGTGAATGCAACTGTTCGGCTGTGTCATGATTCAATTCCAGTCCTCTTGAATCTCTTTTGTGATGGGTTTGGTATACGGTTTGGGGTTTGCGGCTTTTTGGATTTTTTTTGTGATTGATACCAGTTTTGATTTCCCTTTCCGATTCTCTTTCTTGAAGTTAACATATATTTACTCTGCCCATATTCCCCTTTACAGTTACTTCGGATTCTTTTTCTTGCGAGGTTCTCGCCTTAAATACACGTAGACTTAAGCTGTACCCTCAGCGCCTTCACATTTCCTTTACCGCCCTCCTTTGTTACCTCTCTTGTCCTGTCTTCTCTGACTCGCTCTTTCTGGGAACATATTTTGTGCATTGGGTCATGGCGCTTTTGGTTGGGTTGATTACTTTTCATTTTTATTTTGTAACTTCTTTATTTGGATCGATTTGTACTGCCTTGCACACGTATTATACATACGGAGGTAGCTACAAGTATCTCGTAGCACTGGTGCTGTTTACTTTCTATTCCTTACTTTTTCTTCACTTCGCTTCATACTTTGAACGATTTATATCAACAGTGTATATTCAATCATTCATCTTCCTGTTACAACCCAGTCATACCTACATGTATATTTCATTTCTGGGAAGGCGGAAGGGGGCTTAGGTCTTATGAGACTATCAATAGTCACTAATGAATCTTGCCTTGTGGGAGGGGTTTTCTTTCTTTTTTCTTCTTTTTTTTTACTTTGAAAGCGGGAGTTTATACTCATGCATGCCTTGTCTCCTTTCTTTTTCCTTCGTTGATTGTTTTTGCTTGTTTTTTTCCTTTTCTTTGTACTGTTATTGATCATATCCTATTTGTTATTCCTATTCCTTCTTGGCCACAAGAAGCATTTATCATTGAGACTTTGGTAACAACATTTGCCTTTATGATTGCCGGGTATTCGTGATTGTAGCGTCAAGTAAAATAAAAAGAAACCTTATGCACTCGTTTGGTCATGTCAGTGAGATGTATATATTTCAATAGGCCGTGGCACGGAAAATAACGATTAATTCTACCATAACTCAAGTAAAGCCTTTGGCTGGCTAGTTCAGCCTGTTATCAAAATTAAGGACTAGTTTAATTTAATTAGCTCGCGCCTAAACAGATTTTGGTGGTAGCCAATTTTCCAGCTCCGCTTCGCTGTCGCAATGTCAGAACGTAAAGCCATATAACTGGTGTTTGGATCCAAACTCCGTTTTCGAAAACTTCCGTTTGGGATCCCGTTATTAATTCGAAACCCCCAGAGTATTTCTTATTGATGTGTCGCTAACATTAATTAATTGGCTGCTGGAGGGTAACATGATCTGATTAGATTGGAAATACACCCGAGTGATAGCTGGTGACTACAGTGATTGATTGATTGATAATTCATTCGTGTATGCAGGTGACTACTACCAGTGGGAGAAAAATAGCATTTGGCACGATCAAACAGTGTAGATACATAGTGAACAGTGCGATTTGTATCTATTGTACCCGTAGCTAGTATAGCTGGGGGGATGTTCAATTCTCCACATTGGGCTTTGGGTGCCGCTCATCCTGTTAATTTTGTCCGTTTTAGATATCACGTGGCATAATTTAATTTAGCATGCTAAAAGATTTTAGAGCTAGCTTTGCTCTTCTCACGATTGTTATAAGTTGCGGCCAGATCAAGCCACATTCATAGCATCGCACCCGCCCTAAACAGTGAAAACCCCTTCACCGCGCGTCACTCGACAAATACTATTAGTTGAGGAAGAGGGGATTGATCGATTGATAATTCATTAATTGTATGCAGCTGACGAAGAGGGGAGATGAATGAAGAAATTTCCCGGGCCCGGAAGGGACCGAGAATTTACCATGCTACATGTAGGTTCTCCTAATACCAGTAGTATACGTATATACAGCTACATGTACTGATCAATTGCAAACTATGTGCCGCCAAAATCAAGTCAATTTGCACAACGAACCACGATAAGTGCATGAGTAACTCGAACAATAACATAGCTAAGAAAGATTAGCATCAAACAGATTTATATCGAATTTGCGAACCCAAAATTGGCCAAAATTTTCAATCTCTACAATTATTCTACTTCGATGTTACACTGTTTTATCATACCGTCAGGTGAGAAGAGCCCGCCAGCAACATAATACAATCCCGACATATTACATAATTATAACACTTCTTTTGGTGTAGCGTAGATATTAAATTATAAACCTCCAAATCTTCGGGCGTATTGCAATATGGTATGAATTAAGCTTATACCCTGCAGACTATCTTATAAATAAAGTCTGTGATAGAGATTGGGTGGAGCTAACTACTCTCAAAAGATGTTCGTGATCCAGAGCCATAGCAGTGATAGCACAAATCAATTCTGATTTTGATTTATAAATTTAACCATACATATGCCTCGATAATCTTGACGCTCTCCGGGGTAAGGGTGGTTGATCATGCAGTAACGGTGGCGCGACTGGGGGATGTAATCGCGTCTCTTGATAGTTAGGCACTACTCAAGTCTGTGGATCTATTTATGAGCTCAATTAGCTAGGACGTTATTATGTTACTCGAGTTAAAGATGCCACGGCCTAGTGGTCAGTAGTGGGTCATATATATGGTTAGGGAGATTACTGATTCGATCCCATAGTGAGAGCAGATATAAATATTAAAAGGGAAATATAAGTATATATATATGAAGACATCACTATTCGGGGGTCCGGAATTTTTTCTTTTACTTATTTAATCAACCCATTTATATTTATCCCAGTTTCTTATAGCAATAACAATAACTCTTCTTTTATTTATTACGATATATACCCGGAAATCTCCGCGGCTTTGGTTAATTCCTTGTACTAAAATTGCCTCGCAATTAAACGCCTCCGGCTGGAGAGCAGCTATACGATCGCGGAGCTATATTGTGACTACGTATACATGGATGTACTTACTAGTGAGTTCTTAGATACATCACGTAAAATCATCCGTATCTTTGTTAAGGTCTGTAGATCTCTTATAACTTTATACCCGCAGATACTTATCTCTCTTGCTCGTTAATATTCAGATGAATGAAAAGGGACTCGTATGAATTAGAATTGCCGTGATATCTACATCTACACCTCGCTATACGCGATATTGGGAGAAATTTTGCTATAAGAGACAAGAATTGAGAATTATCTGTACCTTGACGTTAATTATTATAGCGAGGTATAAGTTATAGCTGTAGTGCAAATGTTGTCGCAGGATAAAATCGCCTAACTAGTGGCATTCAATTAATGACATGACAACAACAGTCCCCAAACGGTTGCATGCAATTAATGAATTAAAAAAAAACAGTCCCCAAACAGCAGGCCGGACTCATCGAGTGATTTTCTATGATTAAGGCACCAAATTATTTTGGAGGGAGTGATGGATAGGTTTGATGCGGAGATCCAAACACTGGAAAGCAGTATTAGCCTAAGTAGAAACAAGATAATATGCTTACGACGACCATAAGAATACTACTACATATCCTAAACTGTGAATCAATCAGGGCGAGTGATAGTTGATGAACGGGATTAACCGAAGGGTTAGTTCTGGACGTTTGGCGCATCTTCGACTTCTATAAATTAGGTTCAAAAAGCTCGCGCAGAACCCTACAAGACGCATAGTGTAATTACAAGCCTGGATTTTTTACTGCTATTCGCCTGGAAATATTTATGCCACTGCGAGGTTACAGATTCGGTCCAAAGTGGGCAGGCGAAGGAGCTAAAAAAAAGGCCAATTTCACTTGCTACTCCAGACACCCTCAGAGAAAGAAAAAAATAATGATCACGAAACCCAAATTCAAACCAGTGCCTTTATCATTCCCTGTCTACCAGACGCAAGGCAAGAAACCACAAATGGCAACAGCAGAAAAGAAAAGAAGAAAAAAAATATCGATCCCATGCCATTCATTCCCAGACCGAACACCACGACACAACCAAAGAGAAAGAAGTATTGTAGAATAGTTTTCTCCTTTTGGATTCCCTGCCACCTCCACCACCACTTATGGATTCCAGATAGTACACTGTGATTCGTTTTGGATTTGTTGAAGCCGTGCCGTGAAAGAGAAAGGAAAAACTTTTTTTTAATTGTTCGTTTAAACCTTGAAACCTCTGGACCGACGACGACCACGAGCGCGCTCGAACTTCCTGCCCTTTGACTCGACATAACTAAGTACCCCAAATGTCAGCAGTTACTTTACAGCCATATCCCAACGGAGTGAAAAACAGTAGGAGAACATACGGCTTCTTGTGCTTGTGAGGGCCCATTCCGAAGTGCTTAACGGCCTCTCTGGCGTTCTTAGGTCCCCTGATAAGAAGAGTGTTGGATCCAGTAGGCGCCCTCAACGCAAGCTGGTCAAGGGTAAGAGCTTCACCTCCTGCAGCCTCAATCTTGGCACGAGCAGTGGCTGTGAATCGCAGGGCGGCGACGGTGAGCTTAGGAACCTCGAGGAGACGGTTATCGTCGGTGACGGTACCGACAACAACGACGGTCTTGTTGTTGTTGTGGGTAGCATGAGGGTTCGCGCCGTTCTTGATGATGCGAGAAATGGAGACCGGGGGCCTGTTGATCTTTGACATGAACAAGCGGCGAAGGATGGTCTTGTTGAAGGCACTGTCGGTACGGCCTATTGGTAATCACAAGTCAATCCTCCAACTCTTGACACTATTTTTTGTCGAGAATATAAAAACATACGGGCCAAGAACCTGTACAGCTTCACGAGCAGCTTCAGGTAAACATTGTCGGACTTGGGCGCCTGTTCAGGAAATTGCCATTAGTATTTCCATCCTCACTGGCCGATCACTTCTACCATCTTCCAACCACTTTCCAAGCCATGACGAGAAACAACGAACCTTGCGGTGGTGCGAGGGCCTCCTGTGATCAAGATCGATACTATAATTTTCCAAAAAGACCTGTCAGCGAACCCCAGCCTAATTGTAGCAAATCCTGCGCTCGTGAATTCAACGGGAAGTATCCGGCGTGCTTACCCCATTATGCTGATATTAGTGATGGGCTGCTTGTGTTGTTGTTGACGGGATTAATTCTCGAGATTGGCGGATGTTTGACAGATGTGGTGTCAAATTTGCGGGTTGCGGTGTGGTTGGGACTGTGGAGGAGAGTGAGTTGTGGGTGCTAGGGTTAGCCCTCTCTTATCAATCTTATCTCCCTTGACCCCGGAATAGGCCACAAGAACTCTCTAGTTGGCTACAGGAGCTGTAACTTTACACTAAATCCCGCGATTCTGAAATGTAAAGCAAATTACCTTCATTTCAAGTTGGAGATAGAGGCTCGTCCTAGCATGAACCAGCGACTCATGTTCAGAGTAGTATTTCCTCTATCTTCCAAAAACGGACCAAATCTTAGGGTGCTCGGTCGCAGCAGGAAGTGTCAAGCTGATGGTTGACCTATTATCGCGCTTGTCTCCCTACGGTATCGGGGAGGCCTCGGGGCTGGGTTTCGATTCAGTCATTTTCTGTTTAATGATACAAATTTTTGTTTCTATTTTGATTGATAGTAAAGTAATGATACTTCATACTTTTATTTCATTGCATATGACCGCCTAGCTAAACACGTTCTCGTCGACATGTCCTCTAATTCATCGAATATAGCTTAATCTGCTCCACCAATCTTGCCGCTTCTACTGCATAATTTACCGGGCTAGCACTCATAACCTGAAACCTAACCCTCTGTTGACCATCGTATGTGTCCAGCTTAGCCCGACACTTGAAGGAATAAGTCTTGCAGTTAGCTTCCGAGAAGACGTTTGTGTACGCCCTATTTTCGGTCATGCCATCCGGGTCGCTAAGCTCATGGAGCTCGTCTGCGGTTTTTCCCATGATCATCCTGCCGACGTCGTCGAAGCAGCTGAGCCATGCTTGCCCAAAGGCGTCGTTACATGAAATAGTCATGATGTATCTGTTGTAGTCTCGGGTAAGTATCAAGGACGAAAACTTCATGACTTGGGTAAATTATACCTGTACTGAGGTTTAGGGTGCGTTACATCACACCTCTCACACCTCCATCCACCATCCACTGGCACAACCTTCTTATTACAAGTCTCACTCAGACAAGCAGGATAAGAGATGCTGTCCTGCTTGATGTACACAATTGTTGCTTTGGTCGTGAAATAATCCGGTTTCTCCCCCATGCCAAAATTATCTTCTCCAATCTGCGCCAAATTCTTCACATCTTCTTTCCCACCTCCAGCTGCGCCCATGCCTGATAGTCCCTGATGGCTCTGGAAAGTTTCTCCACGGCCTTGTCCGTCATACCAGCCTCTGAGTATGTGAGCTTCATCAATATCGGGGTTGGCTGACATAGTTGAACTGTGCAGCATGCTCAGAGAGCGCCCACCAAAGTCGCTGACTTTGACCCCTTTGAAGGCTACAATTTCATCCTGAGACATTTCCCAACTCTCGGCAACTTTCCCCCACACTGTGCAACGGACGAGATAATTGGTCTTGTCAACAAGTGTTAATTCCCGCTTTGAGTAAGGCTTTTGTGAGACTTTTGAGGTGACTGTGCCAAGATCACCAACTTCTTTAATCACCCCAATAACATCAATCATGGCATCTTTCTGTACACTCTCGAGGTCGGCGAATTGAATGAAGCTAAACCGGACCTGAGGGACGCTATCGTCCACATCAGTGCACTAATAATAGTTAGCATAATTGCTGATATTAAATTGAAATTGGTCTTACCCTTTCAACTTCCGTGTCACGTTCGAAAGATAACTCGTAATCGTTGCTAATGTTGGAAAATTGACGCTTTGCCATCCCGACTCGGCATTTAGAGATGTAGTACACCTGGCCTTCTTGGAATAGCTCATACAGCGAATCAACCTGGTCGTTAAATCCAGTAGCACGAATCTCTCCACTCTCATCAAGGAGGTTGACAGTAAAAAGTCTACCTTCCCCCTTCTGGTTTTGCCATGTTTTGATCTCGGACTTCGACGTAACACGAGCTTTGATAGTCCATTTATTTTGGTAGGGCGAAAGAGATTCGATTGGGTAAATACGATCATGACCAGTGGCTCCCGGACGAGAACTAAATAGAGCTGTCAGAAGGGTATGGCAGAATAAGATATACTGGATTATACCTTGGTTTTTGAGCGGCGGCTCTTTGAGGAGCTGGTGCTGCTGCCGGTTTGTTTCCATAAAACGCTGTCGCAGAAGCCTGCTGGGGCGGAGCTGCAGAATTGCCCGTGGATGTGGCCGGTCCACGAGTAGCGGGATCTTGCTCTAACGAGACTGGGTTTCCGATTTTTTCTCTCTTCCCATGTTCCTTAAGCACTTCCAGACCAAGCACTATCAAAATTCTAGTTTATATCTTGTCAACTATAGTGCCTTCGCAGGGGTTTGAGCGAGTGGCATACTTCTTCTCTTTGACCTGATTGGCTTGATAGGCGAGTAAACGAACAAAACAGCCCTTCTCGAGCTCTTTAGATAGTACTAGGTAATTCGCCTGGGTAGCAAGCATAGACTGTATAAAGTTCTCTGTGTCCGAAAAGACAATGCGATACCTAAAGTAGCATTAGAGGCAATTCTCACTCTATTCGCGGAGGAACGGCATTCCGCTTACCGCTCTGGGGCATTTGGCTGAGCAGCAATAGGCTTGATTTGAAGCACTTGGAAGACGGGGTTTGGGACCACCTGATCTGGGGGAATGTCAGATTCAAACACTCTCTTCAGAGCACCAACGGTGCATGGGTGACCAGGCATTATGCTTTTAAATGAAGGATAGGAAAGCTTCTTTTTTCAAAGAGCCCAAAGCCTTAAAGAATTTGGAGGGATGTTAGGATGTTTGCGAGGATGGATGGGGTGGCAAAGGGGGACGCGTAGAGTGTGCTGTGACTGCACGCGTTTCAATCATCAATGTTGGACGCGTGCATGTGGCTGACTAATCTGAGAATCGTCACCGTTGGAGCTTAGAAAGAGCTCTCGCTTGAGTCTAGGGTTAGGGTTGCTACTGTCTGCTCACTACATGTAGCTATAGGGTTAGGGATGGCATTATATATTATCATCAGAAACTTTGCATTGACCGGTATTATAAGTCGATTTTCCGGAATATGTCCTCCCTAGTTTAAGTTGATCCGAGGTATTCTACTTGAGCGTAGGTATATTAAGTCTCTATTCGATGATAGATTGCTAAAGGTGTGAGTACCTATTTGCGTTTGGATGATCTTGCTGCTTGCCCTTCGCTATATCTACTTGTACTTATGTACATAATTAACTGCTGGATATTTTAGTTTACCGAACGATTTCTTTTTCTAATACGAAAGAGGAACAGTCACCGTACTTCACCAAATTTTAGGGTTGGCGGATTTCGCGAAATATACAAACATGTATGTAGATGTTTCTCATGGCCAGAAAGATGCTGACTCAACAATGACTAATAACATTCATGATAAACGGTAGGATGTCTGCTTAACCTTTATAATTACTCTAGGACCCCGCTTGAGAATTGGAATTAAGCATCAACGAATCGAACAATGTCCGGGATTCTAACTAAAGTCTCTGTCCCTCAAGATCTACCTGGAGAGTTGCCTCCACCATATAGCGGACACGGTTCTTCCTCGAGCTCTGCCTCACGGATTGGAGACCACTGTGCCAATGATCCTCCACTTGGTTAGTTAGAATGCCTCTGGGTTGCATATATGACATATATAGACCGATTGCTGACGCTTTCGAAAACGTCAATATAGATCCATCCGTGAAATCCTCGGGAGTAAGTGAAAAGTTACATGAATTCTCATCGCTCAATTTTGACAGTTGGGGTTGCTATACGTAGGAAATCGTGAAGCTTGCTGAGACAGATGTGAGCTAGCTCCTAATTCGACCTGCAGCCATGAATCTATGTTAAACTTCAATAATCAATATATAGATTTATATCTCAAAGCCTTCTGATCTCGAAAGTCAAGGAACATGCCTTCTTCTACTCCTTACCAACGGTGTAGGAGTAAACTCAGTTGCCAATCAACTTCAAGCAGACCATTTTGCGAGAGAAGGATACTTCGTAGCCATGCCAGATTTGTTAGTTTTTTTGATACCCGCTTTAAACCATTTCAAAGCGCATAGCTAAATAATCGATAACAGATTTGAAGGTACCATATATTTAAGCTACGTTCAGTTTCAAACATTGCTGAACGCTTAGGTGATCCCGCACCAAACGCCACCACCGTAACCTCACACGTCGAGTCTCAAGAACTCCTTGAACAAATCAAATTCAAAGCTGCAGAAGGGATAAAGGGCTTTATGATTGGTCTGTGTATAGCCATCCATATTACTAAACTAAATCATAGCTAATATATAGATGCATGCAGATATGTGGCTTGCTCGGCATACCCCAGAGAAGACAATGCCAATCATCGAGAAAGTCCTAGCTGCTGTCAAAGAGGAATATGGAGACAAAAACTATACTGTTTCATTAGGGACATATGCCGTAGGATACTGTTTTGGTGGCAAATACGCTTTGAGATTGGCGGCAACAGACTTGATCATTGCGGGGGCTGTTGCGCATGGTTTGCTGACGTCTTTACCTCTTGAAATGGGTGATGGCTCACAAGGTTTCCGTAATAGGAACTTTGGTGAGTAAAGAAGATATCATAAGCATCAGGAAGCCGATCTCATTTGCATGCGTTGGTAAGAATCCCAAATATGTTGTTCCGGTATACTTCTTGCTAAAAAAAAAGGAACACAGAAAATGACAATTTCTTTCCGGATGATCTCCGCGAGGAAGGGCTAAGATACCTCCAAGAAAACAACATCGAACATGAAATGCGTGTATATGAGGGTGTTCCACATGGTAATTATTTCATCAACCCCCCTATCTAATCCATGATATTAAGCGCTATTCAGGGTTTGGAGTTTACGGAAGCTACTCCGAGGAACATATTAAAGCTGCACAGAAACAAGTGTTTCAACAGTTTCTTGATTTCATGAGCAAACATTAAGTACTTGTCCGGAGGTCAATTGATATTATATAATTGATTGATTATTATACGCGGCTAAATCTCTTGATATCTTTATTAATTTAGAAATCTACGGGTGCTATTAACCCACGGTTAGAGACGGGTCATAACATTTCTATCATCAAATTCACTCTGCTTTTATTACACGTATCTGTATGTAGTATATGTAGGTACATGTATCTAGTTCTTGGACAGACGTGCACGCCGGACATTTGAAAGAAGAAGAAACACTAAAACATGGCCTTTTACAACCCCCCCCCCCCCCCCAAGTGAGACACATCAATCAATCAAACTAAGTACATATACATGTAGTTTCAATATCGATTTATGAAGAGCAACTCCTGATCCATTTTGAATATTGAAGATATTAATTACTAGAACGTGGAGGATATATAAAATTTATGCAAAAAGATGTTCTCCCAATATATTATACGTATATACATGTATATAGCTTATATTTGTCTGCTCCCCTCCGTCTACGTATATACATGTAGCTGTGTACCGGGGGTTAACATTAAATACCGAGAATCTGGTAAGATAAACACACCTATTCCACAGCAAGATTCTCTTATCAGATTCTTCGTATTTACCGTCAACGCCCGGTACATGTAGTCAAAAAACCTCACAAAGCCTAGGCTATCATGTGACGTAGGTAAATGGTTGGAAATGGTTAGAATTAGAACTTGATAGGTATGACGCACTATTATCAGATAAAGTAAGGCGTCCAAATTGCCCCGCTACGCACACGGCTTGGCAATATAGCCCCACGCTGTTTATTGAGCCGCGATCTTAAATCAATCGTCAAAACGTTCAGACTGGTTCATCCTTTCCAACCTCAATCACCCACTTACCTCAAAAGTCTCAAGAATCTAATAGATATTTCATCATGAGCTGCATCCACGTCTCTGAAGCTCGTAAGTTATTCACCCAGAAAACCTTCGGAGTAGAGCTCTATGCTCAAGAGGCAGCCAGGTTTGCAAGCTCCCAGAGCTACCCAGAGCGTCCACCGCGAAGATTGTACCCAGTGCTTTGATGGAATTGTAAGTTCTGACCCTATATTTAACTGTATATTCTAACTAAAAATCACTCCTATAGGATGACCTAGAAGGGTTGAACGTTTGCCTCTCTTGTTTTAATGGCGGATGCGCAGGAGACAGGAATCACGCATTGCTTCACAGCAGACTCACACAACACCCATTGGTTTTGAACATTAGGAGGACTAAAAAACCAAAACCCGAGGTAATTTTACACCTTATTTAAAAAATAAACTCGAAGCTAACCAGTCTGAGCAGCGTGATGAACCGCCAAAGAAAGTTTCAAAGCTTGCTATTGAGGCTGAGATGGAAAGTGACAAATATGATACTCATACAGCCGTCATTTGTTACGAATGCGGTGGGAAAGAAGTGGATAGGACGACTGGTAATGTAAGTTCAAAGCTATCCTTCGCATTGGTGGCTACTCTGATTTACTTGGGACCATAGCTACCTGAAGTCATCGATGGAGTCATGTCTGCAATGACGTTCGCAACGCAAACCGAAGTTCAGGCATGGGAGCAAGAAATCACGGCCTGCGAGCACACTCTCTGCTTAGCACAAGATACAGCCAAGGAGCTTGAAGCTATGAGTATGATTTAGCACTGTGGGTACAAAGATACTTCTAAAACTGACTGCGTTTCTGGAAACAGGTCTTGCACATTGCTCATCTTGCGATCTGAAAGAAAATCTTTGGCTCTGTCTTCAATGTGGAAGCCTTAACTGCGGACGCTCACAATTCGGCGGTGTTGGCGGAAACTCTCATGGCCTTGCTCATTTCGAATCCACCAAGCACCCAGTAGCTGTTCAGTTGGGCTCTATCACCCCTGAAGGGACCGCGGATGTTTATTGCTACTCCTGCAAGGATGAAAGGACGGATCCGGAGCTTGGTCCGCATCTAAAACATTGGGGAATCAATATCGCTGAACGACAGAAGACCGAAAAATCGCTTACTGAGATGCAAATTGAACAAAACTTGAAATTGGAGTTTTCTATGACCACAGAAGACGGAAAAGCGCTGAAACCACTGTTTGGAAAAGGTCTCACTGGATTGAAGAATCTGGGAAACTCATGCTATCTGGCGAGTATCTTGCAGTGTCTTTTTGCATTGCCAGCTTTTCAAAAGAGGTGAGACTCTTGTATCAACTTATGCCTTTAAGCAACGATTTTTAATATTAGAACAGGTACTACGATATCATTACCTCGAAAGGTATGCCCGATAATGTAAATCCAGCGGAAGATTTAGAAACACAGCTTCGAAAGGTTGCAGATGGGCTTTTGTCTGGGAGGTATTCGAACTCAGACTCAGATGTAGTAGCCAGTGAATACTCGACAGAGCTCCCACATCAGAAGGGACTTGCGCCTGCAATGCTCAAGGCACTTATCGGAAGAGGTCATGAGGAGTTCTCTACGATGCGACAACAAGATGCTTTTGAGCTTCTTTTGCATCTCTTCAAACTCATTACACGTTCTGCTCACCCTGCGGAATTGAAAGATCCTGTTTCAGATTTCAAATTTGTGCTTGAGCAACGGTTACAATGCGTTTCTTGCAGGAAGGTCCGGTATAGAACTGATGTGCAAGATAATATCTCGGTGCCTGTACCAGCAAGGAGGACTGGCAAAGTGACTTCGAGTGACGGGAAGGAAACCAAGGATATTTTCGAGCCGATCACAATCAAGGAATGTCTCGACATCTTCACTTCTAAAGAAGTGGTTGAGTTTACTTGTCCCAACTGTGGAAAGGGCAACGCTACTAAGTACGTACAGACACAAGACTTATGACTGCAAGATACTGATATTTCTAGACGTGTTGCCTTTAAGACTTTTCCTGAGGTGCTTGCAGTCAATTGCAGACGTTTTGAGCTTGTCAACTGGGTTCCAACTAAACTTGATGTTCCTGTTGTTGTTGGAGATGAGCCCTTCCTATTGGATTCTTACATCTCTAAAGGCCCGGCCCCCAATGAAGAGATTCTTCCCGAAGATGCGGAACCCTCAGCTCCTGGATTCGCGGCCAACGAAGCTGCTATGGCTGATCTCGAGGCCATGGGATTTCCTCGTGCACGATGTGAGAAGGCGCTTTACAAAACGGGAAATACCGACTCAGAATCAGCCATGAACTGGCTCTTTCAACATATGGAAGATCCAGACATTGATGAACCTCTAGTCATAGACCAGCCAAAAGAAGGCGGGGCCGAGCCCAGCGCGGAACAAATTGAAATGCTGGGAGCAATGGGATTCACTGCGAATCAGGCGAGGAAAGCACTCAAAGAGACTGACGGAAACATGGAAAGGGCTGTTGAATGGGTATTTTCTCATCCTGATGATTTGGGTGATGACGTTGATCAAGTTATGGCGGGAACAAGTCTTGAGCCCAAAGAGAAAGAGGAGCCTGGAAGGGCTGAAACCCCAGCTGAATTTCAATTGCATAGCATTGTCTGCCATAAAGGGGGTAGTATTCATGCAGGACATTACGTAGCGTTTGTAAGAAAGGAGCTCGAAGGCAAGGGAGACGCGTGGGTCCTATTCAATGATGAGAAGGTGGTGAGGGCTGTAGATGTTGAAGAGATGAAAAGGTTTGCATATGTCTACTTCTTCAAAAGGAATTAGAGACATCAGAGGAACTACATGTAGGCATCAATGTTGTCGTTAAACTCTAGTAGATAATGTATTCCCTAGGGAGCTGGGCTGAGCCTAAAATAGACCGTAGCATGGGTACATACTTGTAGATTAAAAATCTGATAAGGAAACGGTTGATGAGCCTATCTCTACATCAGATACCACATGAGCTGTAATCTGATGGACGTCCACTCAAAGTTATCGTAACTCAATCCATCAGATAATTCCTTACTGTAGGCCGGTAGAAGCACAGCTCGCTAGTTCAATTTGAACCAGCGATCGTACGATTTTCACATCACGCGATAAATTTAAGCATATTTCTGTTTCGTCGTATGATTGACAGTAGATCTGCAGATTGCAGTTAAGGTTCAATTAATGGCAATGAAAATCGGAATTGAATGGGTATGGTTGCTTTAAATAAACGACGCACTAAAATCTAGTCCATCGTTTTTCTCGAACTTTTTAAACACTACCCTCTCTACTAGCCTTCAATTCTCCTTATTCCGCACCCACACCCATATATTTTGGCAACAAGGAAGATAAAAAGATGACTATTTAGCAATTGCAAGTGGTAATGACAGTTGGAATTTGAGTCCAAAAGTGATAAAGAAAAAAAGAAAAACGCCGGGCCTCAAACGAAAACAAAACTATATTCAAGAAGGAAGAACCAAACTACGCAGACACAAAGGGAGAGGTTTTATCCAATGCAGGAACTATGCGGCTGTCGGCGCAGAAGTCTCCTTGCCCAAAGATCTCATCACATCTGGTCCGAGTGTAGGTGCCGGCCTTTTTGACTTGCTCTGGTAATCTTTGATTGCGGATTTGATTGCATCTTCAGCGAGCATGGAGCAGTGAACTATCAATGACAACCTCGTCAGTATCCCCGCCGTACACAAACTTCTCAGCAGCATGATAGTTAAGCTTACGTTTGACTGGAGGCAAGCAAAGCTCTTTTGCAATCTCGGTATTCTTGATACGTCCGGCATCTTCAAGAGTCATGCCACGGACGAGCTCGGTGAGGTAGCTGCTGGAAGCAATGGCGGAGCCGCAACCGAAAGTCTTAAATTTTACATCGGATATCGTGTTTGTCGCAGAGTCGACACGAATTTGAAGCTTCATCACATCGCCGCCTAGAAGAGTATTAATAATCAGACTAGACCAAGGTGAGTATATGTTGTGGGGATAAAATCGGCCGACGAAATGCACACGGGTTTTGAAAAGATCGTGCAGAAACAATAGAGAACAGAGGAATAAGGGCGATAACTTACACGCTGGTGCACCAACAAGGCCGGTACCAACATCGAGGTCTTTCTTGTTCATTGAGCCGACATTTCG